ATCCGGCCGTAAAGGGTTAAATGAGAATTTTATACTTGATCGTTCTGCAAATGGATATGATAATTTTGGCTTGCTTGGAAACGGCATAATCCGACAAATAATTATCCAGTCTCGAAACGAGCGGATCTGAACTTCATAACCGGCCATGGAAACGAAATGATCCGGTAGGTTTTTATCTGAGAAAAAACCGTCGGGAACCTGATCAGGTAACCGGCGTGGAAACAGCAGGAAACGCCATGGGATCCTGCTACGGGCTAAAACTGTGGGAACCGTAGTCGAGAAACGTGCTGGAAGCGGCAACCGTATCCGATGATCTTCTCCTGTTGCCGGAAGTAACAGGAATAAACTGGAACCGGTCACCGGAACCACTAATGGGATCCTGATTCCATGATTTCACCGGAAAAACACTCATATCCGACCGTTTCCTGCCGTACCATTTCGACCTGGGTAATAAACGGTAAATGTAAAAAAAATATTTCTATGTATGAAATTAAAATAAATAAATAAAATCATCATTTCAAAAAGTGAAGATAAATAAAATCTTCACTTAAAAAAAAAGAAATTACCGATTAATCGCGATTAATCATCTGGTTTTTGTACGTAATTCGATTAATCACGATTTTACGTTCATTTTTTGATAAATCACCAAAATCGCGGCGATTTTCACGACATGGGATAACAAGTTCTCCAATAGATTCATCGGGAATCGAAGAGACTGCTCTCATAGTCGGAAATTACGAAGACGAAATAGGTTCTACTGATTTCGAGGGACCAGCCGATATTTTTATCGATGGCACTAGGTCCTTATACATCGCAGATCAAATGCATCATCGAATTCAAAAGAAAATTATTGATAATAATGACCGATTCAGCTATTTTACCGTAGCTGACAAGACCTATTAAAATGGATCGAGCTTGAACCATTTAAATCACCCGAGTGATATCATTGTTGATTCCAATGGATACGCGTATATAGCTGACTTTAACAATCATCGAGTTTTGCGTTGGCCACCGAACTCATCCACATGTGAGTGCATTGTTGTTTGTACAAGCACTAAAGGAATAAAATCAAACCAACTACAATACCCAGCTAATATTGTACTTGATAGAAATGGATCTCTTTATGTAAGCGACTTTAGCAACAATCGAGTACAAAAATTCCAAATCATCAAGAATTTTCGTAAGCATTGATTAGCTCTGATTTCACTGAAGTACAATGAAATTTTAGTTTAGCCAATCCAATGACTTCAACAAGTAGGTATTATCATTTGAATTTGACTTTTTTACCTATTTAAGAGTTATTACAGTTACCTCTGCTGGCACTATTCTATCTGTTACAATTGTATGACAATTATTGACTTTTATGCTATATTGGTATCTTCTAGAAAGAAAAATATAAAAATCGTTTCAGTATTATTTTTTGTCTTTATTTTAGTATATCTTAGTTAAATAACGATGATTATTGCAATGATGGTACTAATATTAAATCAATTCTCATAAACATGATCTACAATATTTCAAGCTTTGCTGTATGCATCATCTAATATACACAGAAAGGTGTTATCATGCAGATCTATATCTATAAATAATTGTGTTCTTTGTTTTCACACAATAATATGAAAATTTTTGAGGATAATGAGTTTAGTCTATAATGTTCTAAAACAGCTGTGCTATTTTTACTGATTTGAAATCGAACTTCAGAGTATCTCTTAGTGATGAATAATGAATTACTATTGAATGAAGGCAAATAATATCCGATGCTTCGATTATATGTCTAACGTATCTGAACATATGTAGGTGAATGACGATACAACTATTATTTTCGTTCACAAGCACACAGCACCGCCTGTCTTCATCACATCAGCAGTAGTTCATCTATCAAAAGCGATCATTCTACTAAAGTTCATATCAGATTTTCAAAGCACAGATACAAAATAGTTATTTTTTTAAATTGATTAATGTCAACATTTCACATTGCTGTTGCTTGAAGATATCGTTAAAAAGACAAATCAGCAAATAGTTCGAAATGAACGGGGCAATGATTCTTAAAAGATACAGTAAATTTTATTAAATAAAAATATTTCCTTTGAATTAGTGAAACTACAATAGAACAGATTTTCACTAGCAAAAACTTGATAGTGAATTCATCAAGGAAAACAAACTATTTCAATGCTATAGTAATAAAATTAGATGTGGCAGAAATTAGTACGAATATAAATAATTCTATGACGTCTATGCAAGAAGCCCATGCTGATTAGGTAGGAGAGTAAAATTTGCAAATCTCATCTGTTGGAACTGTTTGAAGAAATTAGACGTCATGAAAACATATATATGCATAGAGCAGTCTTTTAGTAATCTGTAGATCTAAACACATTCTTATACCAAAAAAGAATTAGCACACCTTAGCACTTGTTATGAATGGAGAAAAATTTTCGGCATAAGAAAACGAAAATAAACCAGATTCTGGTCAACTTTTGTTCCTAACTAAAAACCCAATGAAAACTGTACTAGTTAAATATGAGATAAGTTTCACATCTTGCAACTGGTTACGATCACTAATCTCTAAGCTGCAAACGTATTCGAAAGTGTCATTTTACTAATACATGAAAGAAGAGTGCAAGGTCGACGGTACTATCGACCTCGTTATAAGATATGAGTGAAAGATTATTGTTAATAAATCATAGTCATCAAAACCTTCGATTATATGTATCAAGATATATGTTGATCAATTTGAGATTTCGCATAGAATCTTTCACAAAAAGGTGATGCAATATAAATTCTTATTAAAACGCTTCTCTTTATATGACAAATATATAGAACAAATAGGCACACAAATAAAAACAAGTAGACTATCCACTGTGTTAAACCACACATTCATGGTCTGAAATAAAACTTTTTTTATTCTTCTGTTGTTGGGGTGATCGATCGACATTCATTTCAATAGTCCATTCTAATGGATTCATATTTGATTGATCTAATTTTACTGATGAATACGAAATCGACGATGGAGAAATATCTGAACTAGCAAAACCATAATCACTACTTAACGATTGACATGGTTGTGCATTTAAATATACACAGGGTGGACATTGATTATTACGTATTAATTCAGCTAATTTAAGATCATAAAAATAAGTTGAAGGTTGACAATTGCCGACGTTCGATGATTCATGTTGATTTTGAAACCATTTGTTTATTTGTATTGGTGTCACACCCGATGATAATGACGATGAATTTGTATTTATAATACAAGCTGAATCTCCTAATTACGTACAAAATAGTAATGATAAGAATCTAGATAAATTTAAGATCATAAAACTTACGATCATCTTCACGAATTGTTGAAGCCGATGAAGTTTTAAAAGTCTTTTTAAAGAAAATGAAATTAGAATTTATGAAAACATTTTCTTGGATTTTCATTTACCTTGTCACTTTGATAATGATCATTATATTGTAAAAAGTTTTGTCGGTTGTTAAATAGCTTTTTATCTTTAGGTTTTTTTCGACAATAAAAACAAATTATTATCGAAAATACAAATACACATATACATGTTATTATTATAGCTAAACTAATTGCCCAAAAAACTAAGATTTGATTTGCTCGTCTACTTTCGTAGAATGATAATTGTGTGCATGAATTTCTTATTGAACTATTACATATATCAATTTGAAATCTTACTAAATAATTTTCTTCAGTATATTCATCAATAATATTGAGAGATAGAATATAAGATAATGCATACGGTTGTGATATAAGACGAACTGCACCTGTTGAACTTACATTCCAACATATTAATTCTTTTAAATTATTTAAATAAATTATCGGTTGAATAGATTGATTATTTGTTATATCAATAACCAACGATATATTACCAAGAGAATTTACATCAACAAATGTTCGTTGACTTGATAAATGCAATAGTTTTGGTAAACTATTCATTTTTAATTGATTTGAATTAATATTTATAGTTAATAACTTTTTTGTTGAACGACCGTGCGGTAAACCATAATCACTTGCTGTAATTTCAAATGTATAAGATAAAGGTGAGCACGTTAATTGTGATACCATATAAATATAACCAAGGGCGTTTATATTTAATTTAAAACATGTATCAAATGAACGTATTGAATAATGTACAATGCCTTGCAAACCAGAATCATGATCATAAGCGTATATACGGCCGAGAATTGTGTTCGATTGAAGCATGGATCGTGGAAAAGTCCAATTATAGGATTGGTTAGAATCGAATTCTGGCGAATGATCATTAGCATCGTGTATTCGAAGTATTATTTTTGTTTGACTTGATAATGGTGATTCTCCATGATCTTGAACTCGTATGAGAAATTCTAAATCAACTGTTGTGCGATTTTTTTGATGATTTAATTTTTCAAAGTCAATCGATTGACTTAAAATCAATTGGCCTGTCTGAGAATTAATTACTAATAAATCTGTTTTATTTTCCAAATGATATTCATATTCACCATTGATACCTAGATCACAATCATCTGCACGTAGAGTATCGATGATAAGACCCATCGGGTTGTTTTCATCGATATTATAAATAATTGAATTGAGTTTAAATTGTGGAATGCAATCGTTCACATCGGTTACATTAATTACGATTAATGATCTTGTATGTAATGTTGGCGTACCAGAATCATGCGCCATCAAGTGAATATTATTATAAAGTGATTTCGATTCACGATCGACATTTGTATGAAGGATTAAAGAATATAATTTTGTATTTTGAAAGCTGTTCTGATAGATTAATTTATATGTTAATGGTAATGGAGGTTGCATTGTTGTTAATTGTAAATATGGATTTCCGTTAGCTAAATTAAAGAAATTATTTTGCAATTTTTCTTACGAACATTTATCAGATAAAAATAAATGATAGACAGCATCTGATATGAATGCGCAAGAAATGGTCATTTCACTGCACGGTCAGAATATTCAATATTTTAAGAAGAAAACATTTGTTCGAGTTGAAACTTTTAGGATCTTCTATGGACCATGAAACCTATGTATGTGGAGAATTTCAGGTCGAAACTACGTCATTAACAGGGGGAAATGCTTTTCAATTTCTGGAATCTTTCGAATTTGAAATCCCAAAAACTCCCCGTTTCCCCCTTGAAGACGACTGATTAAATATGAATAGCTATCAATAAAATTTAATATCATGACAGGAGAATCACTACTCAAATAATGCAACTGCGAATATTAACTATGAAGAAATGATATTCTAATCTTTTATAAAAACAATTTACCAAACGAATCAAGATCATTGAGAATAACATGTGCTAATCTTGTACCAACTAATGTATCTTCAGGAATCGAAAAAATATTTTTATCATTTTCTGTTTGTTGTAATATTTTATTTTCTAAATAAGAATTCTTGTTTAATTGAATTCAAAATTTTGTTGCTAAAACTTTACCTTCAACTTTCATATGAATCAAAACCGCATTATCATTAATATCAATAACACGAATGAATACAACAGCATAGACAGGTATTAAATTTTCATAGGCTTTTATAGCTAATCGATATGATTTTTCTCTTTCATAATCGAGTAATTTTTTTAATTGAATTTTTCCCGTTAGACGATCAATTATAAATGGCGATTCAGTTAAAAGTTCATAAAATATCTGTTGACTATTATCACTAATGGCTTCAATTCTTAATAAAGTCGTTCCGATTGAAGTATCTTCTCGAACATCAATGCGATAAACAGATTGAATAAATACTGGGATTGACTCATTGGTTATACGTATATCAAGTTGCATTGAACTCGAACGTGGTTTAGATTGTTGACTATTATCTGATGCAATTAACGTTAACAAATATGATGATGTATTGTGATGATCAAGTGATGAACGTACAGTTAAATAAGGCATATCTATCGAAGTATAATCGACATAGAAATCATTCGAATTCGTTCCATCGAGACTATACGATTGAATACTATTTGGTCCTACAAAAGCGAAAACAAAAAATCATGGAATTAAGATGTGAATTTACTAATCATCGAGAGACTCTATCTATTTCAATTGGTGATATTTTCGAAGAGGAATAAAGTCATCAAATTTCTGCTCTTTATACTTTAGAATTCTATTTAATTCTTATCTCATAAAATAAATAAATCTACCTTCATCAGGATCATTTGCAATTGGTAAAACGATTCGATAGCCGAGAGGTACATTTTCTCGAATGTGTATAATATAAGATTGATCATCGAATTGAGGTGAATGATCATTTCGATCTTGAATTTTAATTTCAATTATTTTGTAAACAATTGTTTGCTGAATATTGATAGTTAGTTGAAAGATAATCTCGCACGAGCTACATGAACATTGTTGTCTTGAGCACATTAATTCACGATTAAGTATTGATAGTGTTGTTAAATAACCAGTTTGATTGTTAATCGAAAATAAATTTCTATTTGTTGGCATTAATTCAAATAATTTGTACGATGCTGATGTTTTTATTTGAAGTTCATTGGATAGATCGGCGACAAATGTATTGATAGCAGATTTTTCTTCAACGGTATATTTCAAAATCTCTTGACTTGATACAGGCGAAATAAGCATGGTGAGAAAAAAGACCATCAGTAACATGATGATATATTCAATCTGAAAAGTGAGAAGAGACATGTTTTAAAGCATGATGTAAGAAGAAGAAGAAGAAGAAGAAGAGATTAATACGGCCTTCACGTTCAATATGCTCAAACTTCATAGAGAAAAAAGAAGTGAATAATGTTTTTATAAGTGAATCGTTTCGATTCGGTTTTTTTTCTGTTATTTTCTAATTCATACATTTTGTTTATCTTAAATTCGAAAGACTAATCTCACTTATTTCATGTTATTACATGTTCTCATCCGGAATATACAAAAATGAAAAGAAACGATTGAATCATCTTGCTGTTTTTTTTCTTCTTCTTCGTTTCAAACACTTCGTAGGTTAATACTTGGACAATTACTTTTCAATCAACAATTGGTTTGATATATAGTTAGCAGTCACTCTCACTTTCACGTCGATTATATATATCTATATATATATATTTCAATCACTCAATGTGTTCAAGTTGCTTTTTTTTGAGCAAATAAAAAAACTCGAAGAAGGTCATCAGCCGCCCGTTGGGCAGAAAGGACGCAGAGAGGGATAGAAAGAAAACGAATGTTAAATTACTTAATAAGTTTGATAATCTCAATTTCGATTGAAGAAAAAAGCACTTGGAAATTTTCTAATTAAAAGAAAATAACATCGATACAAACTTTATTCTAATTTTATACTTCTCTCATTGGTGGTTCGTGTTCGTTTTTCTTTTTGTGTTTCGTTCAATTTCAATTCATTCAAAGCTTTGCCGATCAACTCTTGAACAAGACGAGAAGAATCCACTTTACAGTTAAGTCAATAGAAAAAGCGTAAAGAAGCATTGAATACAATGGGAACTGACCTGTTTGCTAAAGAAGAAAGAAATGACCATCAATGCTACTACTACAATGATTGCCGACGGATAAAATGTATCTAAGTAGTGTGAATTTTTTAAAGTGGCACACCTTCTTACCTTTCTATTCAAACGATGGTTAATACGTCTTCGAACGAACGAACGAATATATATAGGATTCGATCTGTGACGAATTTTATTCATTAGAATATTTCTTTTTGATCTGTTTAGTATTCACTCATTTGCTCAACATGAAAAATACAGCACCGGAACTACAGCATAGTTGACTTTAGATAATCGCTCCATTACAGTCGATAGCATGAATCAAACATCTTGTTAAATTCGATGTGTCAATATTGAATAATAGCAACACGTTCTTGTTTTCTTTGTTTTTTCGTTAACCAATATACTCAATTTGAATCGAAACATATTTAATATCGAATTATGGCATCGTTTTCTCGTCAGTTCTATTCACATGTTTATTCATCAATTATTGATTGAATACATCAATTTTATTTTCTCTCCGTCAGCATTAGACACTTGATCAGCAACAATTGAGACAGATGCGCATAAAGTAGTGAACGAAAAACAAAAAATTTATATTTTATTTAATGAAACACTTGTGTGTCTTCGTTTGCAGATGTTTTTATTCAGTAATCCATTCTTAGTGAGCTTTTTATTTTTATTATATCATGAGGCGATAGTTAATCGAACATGTTTTTGTTTTTTTGAGAAGGAAATACAAGTAAAAAAAACGATAACAGTACAGAAATCAAACGTCTCAATTAAATTCGTTTGCGTTTTTTGTCTGTTTCACGTTTCTTTTCGGCTTCTTTTGTAACAACAGCCTAAAGACAAAATAAAATAAAATATTTATTATCGAATAAAGCAATAGTACAACCTTATCGACAGCGGTTGCCAACGTTCCTTGCGTTGCATAAGCTTTGACCAATTCAATAATGAAAGGTAGCCAATTATGTCGTCGACGTAAATTTTCAATCTGTGACAAAATAATTTAATTGAGCACAACAACAAATAAGCAAAACTAACTCGATACGATTCTCTTTTGCGTTCTTCTTCGTTAATCAATATTGATAAATGAGATGTTTTATCATTTCGTTCATCATCAGTTAATGTAGGATCTAATAAATAAATCATAAAATTTGATTTCATGTGTGTGTATCAAATTTGTATTCAACTGAATTCTTTTAATCTTTATTTTAAAAAAAAAATCTTCTTGGGCATTGAAACATGAGCACTATGTGACAGAATATAAAAACATGATGTTTAAGTATTGTAAACGAGGCTACTCAATTTCAATGATTACATCATTTTCAAAGGATTTGGCTGATTGCATTATGCATAAGAGTTTTGTTTTCGAGTGGCAAAAAAAAGTTGCCGACTCATTTTACACGTTAAATGATAATGCTGTCTTATCGAAGAATTTGATAGATATTTATTGAAAACAAAATTGACAGTGCAATTCATTTAGGACGAGAGTTCAGATTTCATATGTACTCTTTAGCTTCATTTTATTAATAAAAAAAATGCATAAAGTAATAAATCGCTACTAGACAACGTATATCAAGTATTTCAGAAAGTAAGCACTTGATAAGTTCATGTTGGCTTTTTTGAACCAAGCAAATGTATATTTCCTTCATTTTGTATGCTACTAGAAACTTTAAAATATTCTACTACAGACTAAGTGGGATGAGCGCATCCTGAATACCTTACAGTCACTATTTTTATTAGAAAAATGTATGAGCTTCTATACCGAAGGTCATAGTAAAATGTGAAATTCGTCTCGTGGGAAAAAATCGTAACTAGTATAATTAACAGATCTATGAATTCATATGTGTCTAATAGAAGTCACCAAAAACATTGGAAGAGATACTGAGTAGTCTAGTTATGAGATCATTCAAAATTGAATGTCTTCTATTCTCTTGAGATCAACTGAGAATTTTGCACCTTTCCATTGGCAGCGTACAAAAATGTGTTTCAATGAAAAAATAAAATGCAGAGGTATCTTTTAATTGATAATTACCAGCCAATACTTGTTCCATTTCTCGTTCATATTTTCTACGTAGTTCACCGACTACGGCCATTAAACTAAAATGAATTTCACCTTCGCTATACCTTAAGAAAAACGAAGATTATTTCAAAATATCTATCAATGGATTTCTTTCTCTTACTTTTCCATGCGTTGTCGAACAATAGGTCGAGCAACATCAGTCCATTCAGTATCTGGCGGAATAATGCCATGATCAATTGGAGCCTTGAAAAATCAAGAATAATATTTCTATTCATATAATTTCTATTTTTACTTCTTGCAAACCATCAAGTTCATATACACGGCCTAAACATCAGATAATAATTTATAATCTATTAATTGAAAAACCAATAGTTACCATTGAAAGGTACATAAGCAATGAAATGAAATGCATCCTCGTCTTTCTTTTCATCACGTGAATCAAATTCAAATAGTTGTTGTCTACCAAATATATTTATTATTTTATTATAAAAATAAAAAAATAGAAAATAAACCTGGCAAAACTGTTGTGTACATAACGAATTTTATCACTATTTGAGAGAGCTAAACCTCGCATCTATGTATTTCGAGAGAAAACAATGAATAAAAATTTAGACATATTTCCTACAACAAACTTGTGGATCAAATCCCTGGGTAAATTCTTTAAATTCACTTAATGTTGGACCAAGTTTAAGATCTTCATGATTAGAATTTAACAATACCGATACAATAGCTTGTGTTGCACAAGCATTTGTTATAACCTATTAAATTGCATATAGAATTAGTTTGAAAAAAAAGATGAAAAGATTATTTTACTTGTCTAGCAAAAAATATGTTCTCAAGACGTGAATCTTTAACCAGATTTTGATTTGATGAATCCGTTTGTTGCCATTTAAATAAAAAGATTAAACCATGGCATGGTCTAAATGATTATACAAAATTTATTAATTGTGAAACTGAATAAGTATACTTCATTTGTTGTAGACTATCATCATCAAGCGAGAAAATTTCTTCTACTTGAACACCATTTGCCCCTAAAAATAAATAGAAATAGAGAAAAGGTTTTGAATCAAAAAATTGTATTACCAAATCCTTGAATAAGATCAGTAAATACACCAGGATCCGATTCAATTAAACACCATTCACCGGAAGCCATGTTGTATTCGATTGATCTTAAAGATAATCTAGAATGTTAAAAAGCAAATGAAAGGAAAACAAGTACAATAAGCTTTTTTTGAATCAGCATTATGTGTGCTATGTATATATGTATATATATATGGAAAGAATTTAAATGTTAAGAATCATCGATATCAGCAGCACCGCGCAATTCTTGACGTGCATGTGTCCATTTTTGTATAAGATCTGTCGGTAACGTTTTAGCTGGTTTCTGTATAGAAATTTATTTAGTAATTAAAAGAATCGAAATGTTTTATTAATTACATTTTTTTTATCTTTATAAGGATGAGGATGATGATGATGATGGAGGTGGTGATGACTGTTATGATATTGCTGCTCAGATTTCATAATGCTGGTTGTTGTTTCTGTATCGGGAATAGATTCATGTTGATCACAATTAAGTTGAGCATAAAAAAGTTGAAGCGTTTTATCATCTTCATTAGATGATAGCGGTGGTGGACTAGGTGGAGGTGGTGGAGGAGGAAGCGAAAGTAGAAGAGCCATATCACTCGATGTCAATGGTGCTTGCAGTGGTTCTGTGACAGTTCTGAAATCGAATAAAAAACGAAGTAGTGTATTTAAAATTTGTTAAACAAAAAACATACGGCAACGGCGTGGAAGTTTGAAGTAATTTTTCAAATTCTTCGATTTGTATTAGTGCTTGTTCTAATTTACTGACAGCGTACGATTTCGATAGATGTCCAGAGAGACAGTCTTCTAGACGTGTCTAAATAAAATATTACATGACTTTCAGAGAGCAAATAAATATATATATGTATATATTTACTTCTATTTGAAGTCTTAATGTGGTAATTTCCGGTCTTGTATCGCTCAGATCATTAAGACGTGCGATTGCAGCTCTCGAGTCGGTTTCGAATAATGGATATAAATCAATTTGTTTCTGTTTTTTATCTTTATTTTCTTCTTTATCAAGCACTTGATTTAAAAGTTCATCAATATCATCATCGTTTTCTTCTTCTTCCTCTTCTTCACTAGCTTCACTTTCAGATGAATCATATTCAGCAAGGAGACTTGGTTTTTTCAGCTTCTTTGGCGATTTGTTTTCCATGGTTGATTGTTGTTGACGTTTTTTTTCTAGTGATGAAATAGGATTCATAAGAAATTTAATGCATTACACTTACTATTGATTCCATCGATATTTGTTGTACTAAATCAATACGATTAGAATGAAATTAAACAAAAAACTTTAGTTACTTTTCAGGTTTTTCAGTAAGATAGTTTTGTGACGTGTTCAAAGGAGGCTCCCATGAGCATTCATTTGTTACTGTATTCCAATAATACATTGATTTAGATGTTTCATCAAAGCATTCTTTCCATTCAGATTGCTCCTCACTGTGGTTATCATCCGTCGCCGATTTTTTACCAAGAACAATCTCATCAATATCCTTTAGAAAAGAACAAATGAAAATGTATTTTAAATCAAAAACACGTACTGCCATAAAATCAGCAATTTTCGAATCTATATCTTCATGTCGATTGGCATCAGTTTCATGACCATTTTCTAAACGAGGAAATCTATTTTGGAAAATCTATTTCATTTAAATATAAAATCGAACCTGTTTGTAATTCACTCATGATTATTTCAGTTCATCTATTATTCTTCTTCAATTGATAGTGTGTCTAAATATGAATTAAATAATTAATACGAGCAATTACAGAAATTAACATCAAGAAAAATTTGACTCTTGTTTAAAATTTATTAGACATTATCAATGTACCTTAAGCGTAAGACATGCATGATTGTACTGGATGTGAAATAAGAAAAGGAAAGACTGCGCATTCACCTCTGTCACTATACTGAATACAAGTAGATCAAACGAAATATATTTATTCAAAATAGAAGACAAAACGGAATCGTATATTACAAAAATTAGTCAGTCAAACTCATATTTGATAGTTAGATTTAGTTTTTCAAAGGCAGATTTTTTTGATGATCCATATGGAAGTGTTATAATATTGATATAACCTAAAATAAAAGCAAACATAGATAAATAATGCTTTCCTAAAAATAATATCAAATCGATAAGCTATTTAAAACAAAGTTAACTTGAAAATTTTAATAGTAAAAGTTGTTCTTTTCTCCATTGCTTCGATGGAGACCTATACGACGAATCTCTTTTTACATTCATATTAGATGTCACTACAAGACACTGTTGTAATATGTAATTTCATCAGTAGATTGCCGTACGTATTTATTCTTGTTTTTGTCATTGGTGAATATTTTTCTATTATAATATGATAAAATTAGATCTTATTTTTCCTCTTCGTTTTTGGTACCACATGAAAACATCAATTAAATATCTTACGCTCGAAGTGACATATTTAAATAGCACTACTATACTACTACTTAAGATACGAACACTTTCTGAATGATGTCTAACGCGACGGACATCACGGGTAGGATGTTGTTTTTCGTCTTTCCCTACATTATATCAGCTCTAAGAATTAGCGGTAAAACTATTGCAAGTCCAAGTACTTTAACTGTACTTTCAACATATTGTGTTCATACTTTTATTTGCTTTTTTTTAGATCCTGGACAATATTCAATAGCTAAGCTTTCACCGAGCAGTTTTAGCTTTGAATTAATTAGTTTTTTCGTAACAAGTCAGCTCCTTATGATATTCAATTGTGAAATTTTATCTGATGATGTTTCTTCTCAGTGTAGCTGATAAAATAGTAAGACAAGCAGCGCGTGTGAGACAATTGTAATTGAATAAGCTGTATGTCAAAAATGCTTATACTTTAACAAAATCCACTAAAATATTTTTATTTATGATTGATTATCTATAGAATCGTTGAAAATACGCTGAAGTTTGTAAAACAGAAGAGTCTAGAATATTGATCTACTTTTTCATGTTCAATATTCTTCGTTTGCCTTCTCTATTTAGTTTTCTCTCGAACAATAAAAGAATTATATTTACGTAGAGAATTGGACACCCTCACGTCTAAAACAGCGCTGAATTCTAACAGATCAAAAGAAACGAACGTACCCATCCATAGTCAAAATAGTCAGAGAATCATCGCTTACAGTTTACTGAATGCTAATCATAGTATATGGGTCTGTTCTATTTATTCTCTTAGTGTTTTACAGTGTTATATTTTTATCTTGTCCCTCATTCGATAGTTCTTTAAGCTTCCTGACATTTTCTTTTTCTTTCCTTTTGTTCTTATAAAGCAAAAACCTCATGTGCTTTTTAGTTCTCTGCATTTATATCGATAAAACACAGGATATTCGGTATGGGCGCTATTAATGGTGTTTTCAAAAGCAATATTCGCCTACCTGACAAACAAGATCACGGAAAATTAGCCTTCACTTTGTCCCATATTTTTTCATCAGAAGAATGCATAGAATGGATTAGAATGAGCGAAGAAAAAGGTTATTCACTTGCTCTTCTCAATGTTGGCGGTGGCCGTGAAATATTGGCTCCAAAATATCGTGATAGTAGCCGATGTCTGATCGATAGCGTAGAGCTGGCTCAAAAAATGTTTCTTCGTTTGGAACCCTACTTACCACGTACTTGGAAAGACGGTAGATTTGAATTGATTGGACTCAATGAACGACTACGATTTCTACGATATGATCCTGGCCAGAAATTTCTTCCGCATACTGATGGCCAATATCGTCGTCAAGATGGCTCAGGAGAAGAAAGTTTTCTTACTGTACAACTTTATCTAAATGACGATTTTCAAGGTGGTGAAACAACTTTTATCGACACTGATAATACGCAAAATCGAGTATCGTTCTCCATAAAAACAGGCATGGTGCTTATTTTTGAACATCGTATTGTACATGAAGGAACATCAGTGAAAGCAGGACGCAAATATACCGTGAGAACGGATGTCATGTACCGGCCAGTAAAACAACCGTCAATAACGAAATCTTAGTTTTTACAAATTTAACTGTAAATACTAATTGCACTCGTCAAGCTATTTTTCTTTTATCCATTTACTCCAGCAATCATAAACGTGTTTCAATGAAATTTATTAATATTGTAGATACATGTAAATACAATAAAAATCATATCTAAAAAAGAATAACTAATGTCTGAATTTATCTCTTGTTGATTACACATGCAGTGCAAAACAATACGAATTAGCGCTGGAAAATGATACATATATTTCTCAAACGATCATCAGGAAAGAGTAGATGTAATTCTATGATATTTATTATTATAAACTATTTCTATTATTGGACTATGTTTTTTAATTAATTTTCATCTGACTATAGAAAAATATGTCCTTGAACGTATAGGACCAATTCTATGATTGTCATCAATAGTTGAATTTCTTTTACAATGCGCAGTCTACAATTTTCTAACTGTTCCTATTACAAAAACAAACAAAATCGGCTTTATGTTCATATCGAAAAGGTCATTATTATTACTGAATGTTACGAAAATTATTCAGTTAAACACCTAGAAATTTAGCCTATATATAAAAAAGCAGATAACAAAGAAAAAAAATGCTGAAAGCAAGTATTTTTATGTATTCCACTACCGAAAAGATGACTACAATTTTGAGATCTCGACACCAGGTAAAGAAGATAACAAAGATGTTTGTTACTTCTTCCATTGAGAAGCAACATTTCGGTCTCTTCGATGTAGATAGGGTTAACTCATTGAAATCATTTTATAAATATGCATATAAATGTATGAGGTAACTTTATCAATAAAAAAATCTCATAAAATACTGATACCCATAAATGGCAATGAAAACATTTTAGCTTCTTTTCAAGTGACATTCTCGAACACCTCGTTATCATGTCACCATTCATATAGTGCTGGTGAGAGTATGTTTCTTTTGAAAATTGCATATAAACTACGGTGGAACGCTCTATTATGTGTCAGCAACGAATCAGTGTCGTTTTTAACTTACTTCAAACCATTTGTTGATTTGTCTCATTTCAATAATATTCCATCTCTCATTTTATTTTTATACGAAACTCTAATGGTTAATAGTTACCAGAGCTCCATATAATAAAATACGTTCTAGGATAAACCCTTTGAAAAAGATATCGTCAAATAATTACAATAGAAAATATTGGTATAGATCAATTTAAAAACAAATAGACAAAGCTAAACATAATGACATCGATAATTCAACAACATTAACCTATTTTACATTTTTTCTTTAGAAAGCTGAAGTTAACTTTAATAGAGAATAATCCGATGGTACCCTTGATCTGCTATGCATAACGACCAGAGACCGAAACGAATGACAAAAGTGCCATTCGATTCGACTCAAATTGGGTTTACAAAACGTGGTATTCACTATTACATAGTATTGTTGTTTTCAGACTGTCATCCTTTTAGGATGAGAATGGTCTGTCGATCTTCTATAAAAATATGTTGAATAAATATAATTTATCAATATATACATAAGAATTATCAGTGGCGTAGCCAGGGGGCCCATTGGTCAATTGCCCAATAAATTTTTCAGGCAATAGCAATGGCCCAACACCAAAAAATATTGGTATACATGCATGTTTTAAAAACTTAGATGATGTTATTTTAGCGCTGATTGCTGTTGAAATATATTCAAATGATCGAGAAAAGTCAATTGACGATATTTTCCACCGAAGAAATAATCAAAATAATGACAATTCCATCATATTTTGACCTGAAAGAAACTGATGCCCTCACTTAAAGTTGGTGATAAAGATATAAGTGCATATTTATGAATCTTTCGAGAGAACATAGAATTATTTCGAACGCAAATGACAGACGTAGCTTAAACCGAATATTTGAACGGTATAAGTGTGGACAATACTTTCGCAGTTTGATTAATAAAAATTTCAATTCGCAACAGAAGATGCTAATGAGTGCCGCTTGAAAATTTCACTTAGTAATTAGTAGTAAGAGTAATGGAATCCCATGTAAAAAAAATTAAGGGTATAATCAGATTTAAATCGAGTTTTAATCATTTTGTAATCGATTTTAATCTGATTATACCCTTAATTTTTGTTACATGGGATGATAATATATAGTTCAGAGGATGTACAGATAACTAAAAATATCAGCCGTTAAAAAAACTTACAAGACTAAAAGGACTAGCTGGGAATAAAATATAGAGCAGCAGTCATCATTATGTGGCGAGAGATGATAAAGTGAGTTGATGTTCTTTTCGTTCTATTTATGATTAATCATGATTTTTACTGTAGAAATAAATAGATAGCTATTTAGAACTAAAAAATTAATTTATGAAAAAGAGAACATTAGCAAACACGGTCATTTCTAATAGGGTAGTGACAAATTGCCTTGAAACAACATAGATTTGGCGGTAGCAATAAACTTTTGACAACGTCCAGTTGCGGCCCAAGCGATTTTTAATTGCGCAATACCGCACACATCTCAAAATAATTTAGCTGGGAAGCGGACCATCACTCAAAAAATCATAGCTACGCCACTGATCATAACATAAGCACATGACTTTGAAAAAGGTTTACTTTGTATATCTACTGATTTTCTTCACTTCGTGTAACCTTTCGTCTGTATACTAGGAGGTAAAGGATTCACAATCATCTGTTTGTTAACCATTTAACATATGTGAGAAAAATTTTCTGCTCATTTTAATCGCTGCTTGACTATAGGATTATTCCTACATCGAATGGATACAACCAAAGACTTTTTGTGTAGAGATACAATATATTCAAGTAGGCGATTGTCATCATTTTCATGGAAATTAAAATTCGATGACTTGTGAAACAATCGAACTACACGATTGATTATTTCTAAGTTTGATCCACTTTCAATTTATAACGAAATGTATAGTATTCCGACGAAGAAATTAATTTATAGAGTCTCCTATATAAAATTTCTGCTATTTATTTTGAAACGCGATTAATTATTATTACTGATTTATAAAGCGACAAATCTAGGCTCCTCGTCGCTTCTCTGGGTATTTTCAGAAAGAACAAATCGGCAGAGATTATAAGTGACGCAATGCTCCATTTTTGCTATGGTTATTGAAAATTAAGTATCTGAATACGTTGTATTTCATATGTAAATTTCACACTACTTACACCAAAAGATGCTTTGAAGAAACAAGATCCTTACTTATCAACAGAGAATAGAAGAAGTGTGCACACCAAGAAATCGTAATGCTATATATAGAATGTTTAAAATCGAGAAAAAAACACTTTCAGAAAAACAAATTTCCCCGCTGCATTTTGGAATGCAACTATCATTTTCAGCAACAGATGTTGCGAAAGAAAACGTCGCCACTTTTGAAGATGCTTAGTTTATTATTGAAAAAGGCTTTGAAAATGTCGAGATTAGTCTGCTATCAATTTAGTGTAACTCTTAAATGCTCTCTTGAATTCAGATTTCTTTGTGACAATCTTAAATAATTCATCGGTGACGACAAGAAAAAAACCTCATCAATATTCTCATTTTGTTATTTGATGTGAACAATGGCGGCGGAACGATTTCAATCTAGTGGAGGCTCACATGTTTTTTCAGAGGATGAGGACGATGAGAGGTGGAATTAAAAACAAAACAAATCTGGTACTAATAGGTGGTCTTTTCCTACAGCTTTTTTCAAATTAAATGAGCCTCCCTAAGTCTTCTTCTCCGTTTTTAGGGGAGCCTTGAGCCTCTCCAAGCTTAATGGGTCCGCGGCCTGTGGATGTGAAATATACTTTATGAAAATTAGACTAGAATGAAAACAAGGGATTAAATAAATATCTAGATGTAAACCAATTGAACCACAGAAAAGTTATTTAAAAATATTTTCCGTTGATTTCCGAAAATCTGGATGCCTTTGAATTTGATATATTTTGCAGAAATATTTCTGAATGTTCGAGATAATGAATACGTTATAACATAATGTGAAACCGAGTATTGAATTTAAATGTCCAAGTTCTCACACTGTATAATTTTGAGTCAGTTTACCTACTAACAAATGACTAAAACTTTCAGATTTCAAAGCGCAATAAAATAAAACACTGGTACAAGTATTTTTTTAACACTCATTGATTGAAAAATATCATATCAATCTCTTTAATGACAGTACAAACAGTCAAATAATATAAAAACAAATGCATAAGATAACTTTATACAAGAAATGAACATCAAAGCTTTCAAATTCCCATCTAATTTATTTATGCTCGTTCGTCAACAAGTCAGATCATATGTAGGTTCTATATTTTTCTTTGAGTGATTCGAAACGATTTGGCGATATTATTTCATCATCAATCGACGGTGATACTGTAGGTTTCTCTTGTAATTCTTTTAATCTTTGCAGAAGTTCAATAAATGTTGATCGTTGTTCGCCAGTTACTTCCCAACATGAACACATTAATTCATAAATTCTTCTCGGGCAATTCGTTGGGCATGTTAATAATACTCGATCGCGTATCATTTCAATTACTTCAGGATTTGTATATCCATAATATGGCTGAAGACCATATGAAAACATTTCCCACAATAAAACACCAAATGACCAAACATCAGACATCTCTGAATAGATACCTGAAAATATTGATTCAATTGACATCCATCGTATAGGCAACAGATGATTTGTTATATTATAATAATCGAGTTGGTATTGTTGACGATAACGTCCGATATTAGTTATTTTAACATTTAAATGTTCACAAAGAAGAATATTTTTTGTTGATAGATCATTGTGAAGAAAATTTCTATCAGATAAATATATCATTCCTGATACAATTTGTTTTGATACAGAAAGAAAATCAGCCAAATGTGTGTGTTTTGCACGCTGTAAAATTAAATATTCGTGTAAATCTCCGTTGTTTAAATACTCATAAATCATTAATGAAAACGGATTTTTTTGTGAAGTACAAATACCAATAAGACGAGATATATTTATATGATGAATATGGCGAAAAACTATTTAAAACAAACGAAATTATTCAATGCATATTAATAAAAAGTTTCTATGGTGTATTTTTCTCACTTTCAATTTCTCTAAGATATTCTTTTTTAACATTTTCATTTTGTAATGTTTTAATAATACATTTATTTTCGGAATCAATTATTTCACCGATAAATATTCGTCCGAACTCTCCTGACAAGAAAACGGTTCAAATGAATAAATATTAGCTGGATAAACATTGTTTTTACCTTCACCGATTTCTTCTAGAAAACGGATGTTCGTAAATGGAATCTCACGTTGCGCATTATTGACGGCAGAAAAGTAGATTTGTTGATAATTAGACTCGGCTTTATGTAATGTTTGTCGATGATTTAGAAAACTTAGATTTGTATGCATGGATGCTGATGCTGAGGAATTGGTTAATTGATTGTTTTGTCTAATATTAATCGGCGTCTGATAGGGTGACGATTGAGTAGGAGTTAGAGAACGAGAAGATTGTTTTCTTGGTGATAATTTTGGTGAACATGAAGATAAACGATTCTTGTGCTGGCTTCGATTGTAATAATAACAATACGAGAGTAGTAATAATAGACAAAAAAGAATGCTGAATATAAAAATTTTACAGGAAGATGAAAGGGGAAAATAAGATGATGCCGATGAATTTTCAACAATAGGTGAAATTTTTGAAATTGACGAAACTAAAGAATAAAAAAAAAAGAAATTCTCTTTGAATATACAGAAATATGATTAATCCTTTATCAGAAAAATAGAGGATAAAAATCTGTAGTTTTGATGAGAGGCTACCATCAAATATTCTCAGTTATTTGTCATAGATAGACGTCCAATACAGTTATGATCTTTTCAAAGTTCCGGTTCACATCGATTTCCTCAATAACGCATAGTATTTGAATGATATGAGAGATGTCCTATCGTTCCGTTGTCAGCATTGATTTTCTTACCATTTCGAGGTTGATCGGCCATGATACAAGATGAATCATCGCTTGATGGCGGTAAACTGTCACATGTTGGTATATGATACGAAAATAGTACTAGTAATAGAATAGAAAGATGATTTTATTTTTTTCTTTTTGAAATATCTATTTGCTTCTTTGTCAACTCACTATTGGACAAAATTTGTTGCTCGTTCATAAAAGTTTTCATACAAACATGATTTTGAAAATTAAAGCAAGATTTCCGACACATTGATCGTCTAGTAATTTGATTGATATTGTCGCAAACAGGGTATACAAAGAAACAAATCAGCGGTAGCAATAGCCGACGGCATTCGTTTGACATTAATTGAATACTATCAATTAGCTTCTGTTCTGTTTCCTTCTGATCGAATTTATTCATTGGAACATAATTCGATACAAGCATTGATCGACAAGTATTGCCTGTATACAGTTCACATGTCAGCTGATCTATTACTTCTTCATTATTTGTTATGATTTCAGGTTGAAATTCAATGAATGGTAATCTAAAAAGACTTTTTCCCCCGATCAGAACAAGATTGAAAAAATAATTAAACTAATTACGAATCATCATTTGAATCATCAATTGGATCAATATCTATGAGAATGAACAACTTCAATATCATCAAATAAATAAATACGAATAATACCCGAGTTTTTCATTCGAACATAGCCAGTTGACGTTAATATTTGGAAACCATTCGATACTTCACAGGTATAAAAACCAGTCTGAGACTCTTGCAGATTATTTAATCGAATACTATATATATATATAATGACTAGATAGAGATTTTTCTCTCATAAAAATTTTCAAAATTACCTCGATTGAAATAAATTTTCATTGACATTAAAACTATTTTTATTCATTGGATTATTATATCTATACCAATTGAATGATACTGGATATAAAGATGTAACTTGACATTCTAAAAGAATTGTTCGGCCACGATATTCTGTTATATTTTTTAATGTTTTCAGCCAATACATATTTATTGAAGCAGTACTACTAGAATAGACAATTAAAACTTTAGAAGACCTTGAGAATGACAGACAGTCTTGTATTATCAATTGATACGATCTTGTCAACATTAGTTATGCTAATGTTTCGAATTGATTCATCAATGATTTCCGCATATTCTTGTTCTATCGATTCAATATAAAAATGTTTCAGTTTCTTCGATATGAAGGTTTTCTTTTTTTCTCGATTGATTTGTTACATAGTATGTATGCGTACCTGAGTATTGTTGAGAAAGGCAACTGATTGACAAGTGTATTTGCTATTTGTACTTGGTGTTGATTATCATTGCCATTGATCGATGACAGACCACCTAGTGACAACAGTTCCACCAACAGAAAGAAGAAGGCTAAATAAAATATACAAACAAGAAACGACTGTTATGATCGACTGATATTCTTGTCCTAGCTATTTTTTTCTATCATGCTTCAGTTAGAATTCTTCCTGTTAACTTGAAATTTAGCAAAGATACTTTCTGTTGATCATAGAATAATAATAAAAACAGTACTGTCAGATTTATGAGATAGATAATCATTGTTTTTAATGATCTAATCGAAGAATATTTTTACTAAACTCACCGCAAAGTTTACAGCTGGGAATAGTTCAAAAGTAGAATAGCAAATATCAATCCATCTATGATGAAAAAAAGACTCAAACTTGATCTTCAAGATTTTTTTATCTTGTCTCGTGACGATCCTATCGACTCAGTTCTTCTAGATCAGACAAGAATCTTGGTGGACCTTCCGATAAAATAGAGATCTGGAAAGATTAGAAACAAACAGCATTGACTTGTCATTTGTCGTTTCCAGTAAATCAAACAGAAAAGATCTCAGTGCTAAATAAGTACACTTGACACAAAAAAGAACAATCTATTCTTTAAACATTACGTCGTTTTTAACAGATGTCAATAGTTCTCGTGTTCTACATGTGTTTATTAGATAATAGGAATATGAAGCATCTTTTAGTTCATGAAAACAAAGTCGTTGTCTATAGATTCTGTGCAAAGTTCGACCAAGAAATATATCAATCACACTTACCAAATAAATTAATAAACATTGGCGTTGACTTATATTGACAACGAAAACTTATTACAATTAAACAATTGCCAAATCTAAAATGAAAATTAGCGTATTGAAACCATTTGTAGATATCAAAGAGTGTCGACAATCCCATGATGTGACATACATTACATTCTACAAAAGAATGCACAAGCGAGCATTATTATCTATAATTGTATGAGTAATTTTTTTCTCTCTTTCTTTCTATTTCTCTCTCTCTCTCTCTCTCTATATATATATATATATATATCTATGTACAATTATTATGAGTAAGGTCACCTTGTTAAGCTGGCACGAAGAAAGGAAAGGAAGGAGACGGTCCTGTAGCAATTCATTTCTGTCTCCTTTTCTTCTGATGTGCACTAAGTCTTATTATTTTGCATGAACGAGTTTTACCTGAATATAGTTATCGACAAAGAAAATGATATCAATCTATTCAAGATTACTTATGATAGGCACGCATAATTCTTCAAGAATATTGACGTCGATTCAGTTCTTATCTTTAACTAACATAGACATTCTCACACATCTACATCGGTTCAACTGTGCTTATACATCAGCATTATTAATAATCATCAAAACGAAACACAATAACAAACCGTCAATAATTTTCATGCATCGAACATAGCCACAAGGAATAAAACTGTTGTCTATGTCATAAGCAGCTTTAATACAACTGAACATGTTCAACTTCAGTAACACCTACTTAAAACAAAACTGAACTCTACATAGCTGCACTTGCCAATTCTAGTTGTAAAGATCATTTTTTACTTTAATCGTAGAAAGTTGATTTCAACCAGATGGCCAACTTCAATTTGTCAAACATTCAATGAATATATGTATGCAGGAGAAGAAAAGGCAATGTTCACTCGTTGGACACCGCAGCGGTGTGCGTGCTGCGATTTTCCTTTTGTTAAAATCTATCACATGCATAGCGTGTTGTATCGTAATCTATTTTCAACTGTTATTATTCATACGTAAAATAATGTGAAATACAAGTTCATATGTTCAAACAGAGTGTTATTTGTGATATGACAATAGAGTCTGACCTATATATCTTTACGAGATGATGACGCTGTTTGTAGTCGTGTTATAGATTTTTTATCTTTTGTTCACGTGCATTCGAATTGACATATAAATTGATGGTTGTAAGTGTGTGACTCAAATTTAATTCATTATATAACTAATGATCAGTATTGTGCAGAAAAGAACAGAACGACTCATCTTTCTGATATCGATTTCAGCCAGAAAAAAAGTCTTAGAAAGACATACGTCTTGATATTTGACGTAAGTGTTAGAAGACCGTTTCCTTTGATCGTGCGAAAGAAGTCAATGATGATGATGATGATTAGTCACCTGCTGATAATATTTCGTTTCTTGTCATTTCGACAAACAGCCGCATGAAGAAAATCTTCAAATGATACATGTCCATGTCCATTGCGATCTGCTAATTCAATCATTTGATGTGTTTCAAAATCGTTCATTGAACTATTAAGATATTTCTCAATAGTTAATTTTAAATCATCAAATGTTAGGAGTCCATCTTGATTTTGATCAAACAAATCAAAAGCTTGTCGAATTTCTTGATTTGTTTCACTTGGATACATATTATGTGAAATAACATTTACAAACTCATAAAAATCTATTGCACCAGAATTGTCAATATCAATATCGCGCATTAAATCAATCATATCTGATTCAGTCGGCGAATGACCTACTGTTTTCATCACAGAAACAAGTGTTTGCAATGTTAACATCTCTAAGCAGCGAACAAAATCAACATCAGGTTTCGTTAGTTGTTCTTTACGCTTTACCTTGATTGTCCTTATCGAACATATCAAATAGTTCTCGAAATTCTGCCAATTGTTCATCAGAAAATTTTTCTAATACGATTCGTCTTGTCCGATCTGTTATATCATTGATTTGCTTTTTTCCAGAACGAATTCCGTTTAGATTATTGTCAGGTTTTTTCGATTTTGTAGACATGTACTATAATAAAATTTCTATTTATCTGATTCGATACGTTTGACAATCATTAATCATATGTTGAACAAAGCAATTTTCGATAAATAGATCGTCCGCAACCGGAAGAAACAACAAAACAAAATGAAATAAAAATATGCGCCATATTTAATTCCTCCAAAAGTACGCTAAAATTTTCTAAGAAACTCATCTTTAGAAATATTTAAGGAAATGCTCTTGCTGCATGACCATTAGAATTGAATGCACGACTATTTATCACGTTACACGTTAAAAACGAAAGAAATTCATACTACTCCAGAGAAAAACATTAGAATTTGTTGAAAGATATCACTGCCAATGAATGCTTACGGCCATACCACGTTGAATACACCAGTTCTCGTCCGATCACTGAAGTTAAGCAACGTCGGGCTCGGTTAGTACTTGGATGGGTGACCGCCTGGGAATACCGAGTGTCGTAAGCTTTTTTTGCTTTATTACAAAAAAAATACTTTTTCATTTTCAATTTCAATTGTAACTTAAATAACCGAAGCCCCACATTTGTTTTTTTGCATTTTTCATTTTCCAAAAAAAAATAATTATTTACACAATAGCAGCGAAAATAAAAATAAAAATAAACGCATAATGCATTAATAAAAATAAAAACAAACTAACAGCAGAAAAAAAAACTCATTTTCTCGCAATACCTGATACATGAGGACTTAGAAGAAACGAGATACCATGAACAATAAATATATGCTGTGTGACACCACCATTAAAATGCGCTCGTTCAATATGTTCTGGAATATTTCTTACTAATGAAATACCAAATAAAAATCTATATATTGGTGAGCAAATATATTGAATTAAAGCGATGAAAGCATTCGACGAGTGAATATTTTCCATGTAAATAAAAATACCACCCTAGAAAATAGAAGAATACTTTAATGGAATCCTTCCAAACTCTAAATGTGAAACACACTATAGCGAAAGTAAGTCTTATAATATGATGAGACGTTACTAGTGCACAACCTTCGATTATATATCAACAAAGGTTACAGCTAGTCCTAAGCAGCATCTGACAAGAAGTAAATGCAACTTTCTATCCTACGAATTTCAGCACTTCTGTTTGATCATGATTTCTAAATAAAAGATGAGATATCGTTAACAATGTTAGTTTCTCTGTTGGAAATCGCATATTATTTTCGCAGAACATGGTGAGTGTAAGTTTGAAAGCGAAGCTTTTTAGTAGCTCTCCTTTCTTCACGATTTCAGACGTTTGAAACTGGACTAGGCCAACATAGACAAATAGGTGATGTCTTAATTACAGATCTTAGAAATATGGCCACGTTTTTTCGAAAGGTTTTCGCGTCATCTATTTTGTGCGTCAGCTTCGCGAGTCTAGAGAATATTTGTGAATTCTATATAATAGCCCTGATGGGGCTGCGATTATAAAGTTTGATAATTACAGGCTTGAGAATGCGACGAATTTCACTTAGTACTTGATCGACATCTCTGCAAGAAGAAAGTGTTAACGTTGATACCACTGCATCAATCTGATTATCCCGAATAACTGTAAATAAATAAAATAAAATAAAATATTTTCTTTTTCTTCTACTTTTGTCTTATTTACCAGATATATTTTCTGCATTACCAACTAATAATTCTCTGCATTTTACATGTGGATTTTGTTGAAGTGTTTCTCTCAAGTACGTTACAAATTCACGTACGGGTTCAACACAAATCACTTCAACAACTAGAAGAAAATCAAATTGAAAACTTTCATATAAAGAATATCTATTATTATTTACGATGTCGTGGGTAATAAGGCATATTAGCACCATGTGCAGCACCAATTTCAAGAACTTGAAGTTTTCTTCCGTCTTCTCTCGTTTTCACATTTTTTAATTCGTTAAAAAGTGCTTCTTTTTCTAAATGAAGAACTTGATTATAACGTTGAGAAAATTTCCTTGTGGACGACATGTAATAACGTCGATAAGATCCAGGCAAGTATTTATAAAGACTATAGGAACCAATGCATACAATAGCAGCTGCTCCTATTTTTGCCCATGGCCAATAACAATAATCTTGTTGAAATGGGGCCAGCGTATTAGATACAAGATTACGTATTGTATCTAATAGTGCGGGTGGCTTTTCTATTAGAAGTTGTTGGGAAAACGAGTAAAGATTCGGTTGAGTCATCTGAAAAAAGATAAACATTTAAAAAAATAAATAAATAGCAGGTTTATTTCTATAATTAAAGTGAATAACGATACTATCAAGTGACATGTATAAAAAAAAAGGCTCTTTTTATTGTTTGATTAATCTTGTTTCTCGAAAAGTTTATTAAATGTTGGTCCAATTTCTTTTAATAAGTCTGTACTAATCATTGATCGTCCAAGTTTTTTGAAAACTGTTTGACTAGAAGTACGAATAAGTGTTGATGTAGCATAAGCAGCTATTTGAGCTGGAGTTATTTTCGAGTAATCATTTATATATTCGGTATTGATCGGCGAGTTTTCGGAATTCGATGATTGATATTGAATATTATCACGATTTTTTAGTGCCCAATAATATGAAATAGCTAGCGCTCCAGATAATAAGTCTCCTTGGCCACCACATCTTCTTGGTGAACCTTCAATAGCGCATTGAATTGGTGTTTGATTATTCGGCGAAGATATTGTATCTACACGTCCTTTCATAAGAATATTAACACGAAGTGTTTCAGCTAATTTTTGCGCTAATTTTTTCTTATCAGTTTCTTGTTTTATTTCTTCAGATTTTACACCTGTTACTTTTTCATATAAACGTTCAAATTCTGCAATATTTGGTGTTAATATACAATTTTCATAACTATTAATAATATGCGGCTTTTCAGTGATTAAAAACAGGCCATCAGCATCAATTACAAGTGGTATTTGTTTATCTTGTTTACGTAAAATACCAATTAATTGTTCAACATTTGACAAGATATTTTCGTCGCGTCCTAATCCTGGACCAATAACTACAGCATGCAAACGTGGCAGCCATTTGCCTATGTCATCCGAGAAAGATTTTGAATCCTAAAGAAATCTTAAAGAAAAATAAATCGATAAGCTTAAACTCACAAGAAGTGGATGCACAATAAGATCAGGTGAAAAGCTTTTTATTGGTATAGCAGCATTTTTGGCACAAAATATATGAACAATATCGGCACCTGTTCGCAATGCTGTCATACCTGCAAAAGTCGGTGCGCCCGTATATTCTTCACTTCCGCCGACAACACCAATACGACCAGCTTCACCTTTATGTCCATCAAATAGTAGTGGTGGAACGAGTTTTCTAAATGATTGTAATAATTGCGTATGCGGCGAACTCATTGCCATCTGGAACATGATAGGCAATGAACAAAATAAAAATAAGCAAATGATGTCTTCGTATCTTTTATTATCTTTTATTCAATATTTGTTTTTCCGTAAACAAAAGGAGAAAAAAAAGAAGGACCGGGTTTATCGTGTAAAGAAATAGAAAAATAGCAAACGGAAAGAAAGAAAAAGACGAATGCCTTAATCACTGGGCATATTAAACAGAGATAGAAAAATTCACAAACGTGTTGATTAATCGCTCGGACACCAGTTACAAGTCCATGTAATTGAGCAAAAGGAAACCGACACCACACTGTTCTAAAAAAAAATGATAATACGTGTATTTAAGTACGAATACAGAACAGAAGAATTGCATAAAAAAATACAGAAGATACATAGAATGAGAAAAGAAGAAGGCACCGAACAAAACAAAAAAATATATATATGATTTTATCATCGTTTTTATTATTAATTAGCCACCAATTTGTACACTTGGTATTGTGGTCCACCTGCATCGAACATAGCGATTTCAAAAACAAAAGCAAGACAAAGTAAAAGTTGTTCGGAATTATCTAGACATTTAATCACTTGAAGGACAGTAAAGTTCTAAAATTAAAAGAAAAACATTTTACAGATTAAAATGTACACAAAACAAAACAAATTTTCTAACGTAAGCTAATGACGTATTATAGGAATTAAAATGAAACTTAGAACTAATCCATACTAGCTAGAATTTAATTTAGAAATCGAATAGATGAGTATTGAATGGTAAAAAAAAGCACATAGAGCGTCATCAACAACGAATGTATTTACAGTTGAATTACTTTTTTTAACTTTCGATATTTTATTTGTATTTATTTTTAAAATATTCCTCGTAATACAATGCAACAGCTGGTGTGACAAAGAAATGCATCAACTCGGTAAACATACCAGAAACAAGACAAATTTAGACTCTTTGTCCTTGAAAAATTTCGTCAAGGTTGCGGTTGCAAAAATATGAGTCATCTTCTTGGTAACGAGGCACTAGAATCGTAGTCTCCTTTTTCTCAAGCTTTCATTATTTCTAATGATTATTTGCTGGTAGAAAATATACTATGATCAGTTCTATTAATTGTCAATATTTTAAGCTTTCTCACCTCTAAGACGCTATTCATCATACAGGCATTTGGAAGAGAACGAAGTTTTTGTACGAATTGTACCATATAATCACATAATGGTGATCGATCAAACCGATGAAAATATTGATCATATTGATCACGTTGTGGATGTTCACTTGTGTCAACTTTTTCCAAAACTTTTTTACCAAATGAACATAAACGTGTTGATATATGTATTGGACGATTGGCACAACTTGCATATGTAAATGAGGTAAAAAACGATTCATCACGAATACTCATTGGATTAGTCATTGAGGATGACATTGGGACATCAGCCCAAAATTTAATTAAAAAGAACGGTCCATATGGGTTACGTTCAAATAAATCTTTCAAACCGTCGTAATGAGGGAATTTATCATATATTTGATCAATTGATATTGTTTCAAATGTTTGAAGGCTTTTCATTTGAATGTCATTGACATGCAAACGAACTAGATCATGTTGATGAATCGAATATGCTTCCGATGCTGGATAAATTAATGATGGATGTGTTGTTGATATGGTTCGATTGATTTCAGCAAAAGCACTTAATTCATAAAGACGAAAATTTTCATCCCCAATTATAGCGAATGGTGGTACTGATGGGTTTGCTAGTATTATACCTTGAGAAACTGTTGAGCCAGAAGATAGTGGAGATGATGATGAAGTATTTGATGAACATCGAGATCGACCGGCAGTATGAGTATAGACGGCTGGAGAATCTACATAGATACAAATGTTTTTCATTGTTCGTAGATGTCGATTACATTTCATTGGCTCTCTAGATTTTGCCTACTATATCATGTTGGCTAACGCGAAGAAAATCAATAGCTGTAGGTATTATCAGCTGGTGGAGGAAAATAACGTATTGATGAAGCGCAAGTCTCATACGCACCTAAAGATTTCTATGTTCAAACAATCGACTGGGTCTATTCAATAGAAAACCACTCACGAAATATTAAGAATCAGTTCTCTATTTCAGTAAAAACTAATTTACAATCGAATAGGTAATCATTTTCAAATCAAAAGAAAATATAAGCCATTGTAACAGAATTTTTCTATGTGATCTATAGCAAAAAAAAGCAAGAAGAATGCATTACTTGGTAAGTAATGTTGTAGTGTGCTGTTGATCATATTTGGAATAGTACCATTCGATTTATTAGTTGATGCTACATGTTTCGTTGAATTCTTTTTCACGATTGGCATAGGTGAACACGAGTATGAATCTTCTTTTGCTTGGAATTGCTCTATATTCATGCTTGATGTCGGCACAGGTTTTTTTAAATGTTCTTCAATTGGAATGGGTTGAATGAGATTCTTAACAGGAGTAGCTCGCTTTTTTTTCTTTTTTTCTACCTCATCGTCATCATCATCGGAGAACGAATCGTTATCACTGGTTATTTGTTCATTATTCATCGAAACAATTTCAGCTGATGTATATTGTTTTAATCTCTCGAGTATAACTTGTTGCGCAGCTTTATCATTACGTAATGATTGAATTTCTTTTGAACGACGTTTAGCAAGTACTTGTAAATGTGATGAGACTTGTTTGCGTGATCGTGTTTTACCTGTACGAATTTTAATATAACGCGCGACTAATTCATTGCGACCATACATTTTCCCTTCTTCAGTTAAGATTATTTTTCGTCGACCACACGGAGGATATATAGCGAGTGCTTCAAGAAAACTTTGTTCAATATCGGCACTCCATATACCCTCAGCTTCATCAACTGTTCCATTATTTGTTGACGGCGTCGGTATTGAAAGGTTAGTATCTATTTTGATTTTATCCATCTTGTTTTTGTTTTACTTAGTCGAATATATCATATACATCTAGAAATACTGAAGAACAAAAGAGTTAGCTGAATGTATTTATTGATACAATACAAAAACAAAACGAAAACAAAATATCAATGTACTGATTTATTTATTTTTACATAGAAGACAATTAAAAATAAAGCGGGTTGTAAGTTACCCAATGAGCTTTATTTTTTTCTTTTTCCTTTGCAGCTTCGCTTGTTGTAAATAATGATTTATATAAATGAGATGTGGTTGGATCTTGTTGAATTTTTGTTTTGTCGCTTACTGATTTTTGTCCAACAGCTAATTTTGATGTATTCGCGTTGCTTGTTGATACATTTTTACTTGTTGTTGACGATGAAACATTAGAATTGGCTGCTGCTGCTGATGATGATGATGCACCATTACTATTTGCTGTTGACTCTAGAAAAAAAAAGTGAAGTTCAGAGAATGTTCAACAGTTTTGTAAATCTAATGTTTCAGAATATAGTAATATTAATGACTGTGTTATGGGACGGTACCTATCGTCCCAATAACCTCTATGCTATTTTCCTTTGTCTCCTTCTATTTGATTCGTCTTCGAAGTATATATTAATATACATCGATAATCTAGTGTATATGCGGAGGAGGGCAGAAGGATGTGAAGATATAGGGTTGTCTCGGTGACAAGCTGAGCGACTATGTCGTTCGTTTATGATTGTTATCATCGATTACCGTTTCGTTTTTTGTTACTTTCGTTATAAATGAAATAAGCTAATATTTATAATTAAATCCTAACAGACTGATAGAAATTCAACAATGTATAGGTGAGTTAGACGAAAAGAATTAATCGATTAAATTGGCATTAGTGGGATAGGGAATTGTTTTTGAAGTGTCGATAAGCTGCATTTCTTTCTCTATCTATCTGTAAGAGTATCATTCTACTCTTTATTTTCTATTGGCATTTGGTAGAAGATTTGATATCTCTTGTTCTATTTTCTCTCTTTGTGGTATCTTTTCTATTATCGCTCATTGTTTTGGTAGAGAAGTTGTGACTCCTGTCAATATTCTCTACACTCTACTTGACATCTACAACCTTTCAAAACTAAGTAACAGCAATAATAATAATCAGTCTGACCACTTGAGATTCTTTTGAACTTTTAAGGCATTTTTGTATTATTTTTAATATGCGTTACTGACTGCAATCAATATTATGTTGGAAATCTTTCTGTTTTCTTACTCAACTTCTCGTCACTCGTAATCTTCCTCTTTTTAACTACGTTACACTTAACCAATAAAAATATTCTGCCATGCAATATTCAGTCTGCACCCCATAAAAATAAATTTTGCATTAATTAGAATACTTGCAAATTATATTTCTAACTTACAATGCAAGTCTAAGATTTCAAAAAGAATAATTTAGAAAATGTTTTTTTGTTTTCTGTTCGGAAATCCCACAAATATATTTTTATTATACTAGCCAGATGCCTTATTGTCTTCGTCGAAAAAGAATGTTTTATTTACCCATAACTGGCTTAGAAAATTTCTTTAACAATAGTAAAAATCACTTGCCGATTTTGGTCTTTTTTCCACTCGATTCTTCTTCTTCTATTTCGGATGTTTTTCGTTTTGTTGATCCATTCTTTTTCTGGCTAGCATTTAATCTTTGTCGTCTTTGTTCCATCAGCGCTATATCTTCATTTTCTGGATTGAGAATAATAACATCATCATTCGATGCATATTCTTTACCACATTTTGGACAACACAGTTTTTCACTTGAATTATTATTAATTGATCGAAGTGCTCGCTCCGATAAAACACAACCACATGTCCATATAGCACAAAATTTATATTTACCATTCATTTCTAAACCAGTTAATGGGCAAATAAATGGCGATGAATAAACATCCAAATATTCATTGCCTAAATCATTATGATTTGATTTAAATTCAGGGCTTTCTGTTAATTGTAATTCTTTAACATCTTTCATCTTTTTAACATAAGATGGTCCATTTTCAAATTGCATACGATCAAGTAAAAATTCTAATATAGCATCTTTATTGTATAAAAGTCCATGCGAATCAACAACAATAGGTCTTTTGAGTGCATCGTATTTCAATGTACAATAACGCCATTTCGCCATGTTAGCAGCATTCTTGTCTTTGACTTCGGCTTTTTTCTTTTGTCGAACAAGTTCGTCACGTTTCGGAATTGTTCCACCATCGCAACCCATTTTGAATTTTTTAGCTGAAAAGAAGTGATTAGAAATAAAAGTGAACTCTACTTTTATGAGTCAAAATATTGCTTTCCTATTGGCTCCATAGGAGAATTATTTTTGTCTCTACTCAATATCATATAGCGACATTAACATACATATGCAAATAGAAATTTTTATATTGACAAGATGAGTCATATCTTAAAAAATATGTTTTTCCTTTCTTCTAGCCTATTCTATTTATAAATTTACTATTAAAATAAAACAAAAATAAATAATGTTGACTGGTCCTCGTGATCATCTTTATTCATCAAAACCACCACCCCCACCAACGCCACCACCTGCTTTTACTGATGATAATTTAGCAATGAAACATGTACAATTAAATGATTTATTAAAAAAACTCATTGATAAATATCAATTTGATTCAGAAACTCCTGAGCAACAAACAAGACAAACCGATTTATTAGTTGCAGTTGCGCAATTTATACTTTCGCCACATGATAAACGGGATTTTCTTAGTAATGTTGTAACAATCGGACAAGATTTATTAACCAATGAATATTCAATGCATAGGAGTGAAGAAATACCGCTTACAATGAATTCTAGTAAGTGATATCCTACTGAGAAGAATGAAGAATTTCTTTAGAAGTTTCTTATTGAATTAAACTGATGAATTCCGTCTTGTTTAAGAAAGTTATTCTGATACAGAAACAAACAATCAAAAGTACTAAAGTTTGTTGACAACAAAACAGATCATACGTAATGTGTTGATTTGTTGTCAAATTCTCGAAAAACCTATTCTATTTTAGTCACTAAAAAGAGATTAAAATTAAGTTTTGATAAGGTTAAAGATTGAGATTAACACTTAAAAGTTAACTTAATCTGATAAAAAAATGTGGAAATAAAATGTCTCTGATGGTAGAACTATAAAAGTGGAAAATTAATATCACTTGTCCCTTCTAATTAAATATTTCAATCAATCCGATGTCGATTCGAACATTCACGGACTAGAAAGCTTTAAGGATCAAAACCTAACTGCTCATTAATTCTATTTTGATTAGTCGAATCGAATATTTAGATATGGTAGTTTCTTGTATGCACGATGAATATCACTGTTCGAATAAAATCTACTGTATTAGATCAGTATTGCAAATGAAAGCTTGCAACGATTCGTGGATATGAATCTTTCTTTCTGAGTGATGATTATTTTAGTGCAAAGATTATACTTCTCAATAACTCACTTAGAAAACCGATATCTAAGTTCGAACTACGCAGAAATGAAATTCTCAATGACGCGGCACGTTCATTTACCGTTGAAAAATTGAGTGCAATTGCTATAATTTATAAGAGAAAGACTCGAAGGTTGTTTTCAGTGTAAAATTCTAAAGGGCATAATTTACGTACTGAATTACGAAAATGCACTCTTGAGTTTGAAGAAAGCATTCATCTGTTTTTTGGACCATTAGGTCCTCGTATAACATATTAAAAGTAGGATATTGATGGTAAAGTTTGTGTTCTAGACTGTCACCCGTTTTGTTTTTTAAGATTGTTAATATTATGATTCTGGAAGAGAGCTAATATCTGTCTGTAGATTTTAGATAGATCAAGCCGTTGATAGAGTAATTTTCAAGATGCTGAATGTTACATAGAAAGTTTTGAACTTAATAATAACTGAGAAGTTGTTTGGGAATGAAAATTCTACTAATCTTCTCAGATATCAACGATAGGACTCAAATTCTGCACATATGTGTATAATTACTCTTTAGATTATTAAGCGAAATTTATTTTTAATAAGGCAAAAGTGCTTCTTGATACTTTTTCTGTTCTAAGGTTATGATGAATACGGAAGAATATTTCTAATTAAGCTCTTGCATTTATACTGATACTAGATATGATGCACTTATTTTGCTCTTTCATGACATTGCAAAATGTAGACTTCCGAAGAAAGATAAACTATATCTAACATTTCAGTGATACTTACAATCGATGTTGTTTTCGTTTGGTTCTTTGTTACAATGTGAAATATTGCGAAGATGTGAATGTTTTGAATTTTTGTGTCGTGAGGAAAGAAATTTATGCAAGCAAAGTCAACAATTTTGTCTCATAAAGTATTCTCTACCGAATGAACTTGCAGCGGAATTTTGAGCAAGTTGAAAGACGTCCTACAAAAATAAAATAAAAAATGAATGTATCTATTATTGTGAAATATGATGATAGAGTAACTCAGAAAATTCAATATACAGATTTTATGTCGATATTGCTACTTGACGATAATTCCGATAAAGAATTAATAACGTTGCTAGAAAGAAGTAAAATCTTTACAGTATTTTCGAAATATACGTTATCTAGAAAACCCACTACTCACTCCTTTTTAGCATCTGCAGTAAAGAAAAGCTAGCAATAGAAGTGTATAGAGATCTTGCTTTGTTTTCAAGATGTTATAAAAATATTATTTTCTCTATTCAAATCTCTACTTCGATTTTTCTATAAAATTTATCAGTATGATACATGTTTGACACTCTTGGGAACATTAGGCGGATAATCCAATGTTTCAAGAATTGTTGAGTTCGATTATCGTTTTTGTTTAGATCATCAAACGAATCAAGATAAAGATGAAACAATACTTGTTCCTGCATCCAATACAATCAACAGTGATAACGGTGATGGAGAATTTTCACTCAGTGATCTTGCTAGTGAATATCTTCAAGATGAGCCCTCACCTTCTACTTCAAATGAAAAGTCGATAACACCTACGGAATCAGAAGAATCTGGTTCACTAGTTGTTGATCTTAGTAGCCATAGTCTTTCATCGTCACCTGCTTCACCATCGTCGCCAAGTACATTGGCAAAAATTGTTTTGCCTTCACCATCGAATGAACCTCTTCTAATCAAACCACCACTTGAATCAATACTATTTACTAGTCGTTTATCATCACAAGATGCTGCTGATGAGGCCCATTGTATTTGGAAAGAAGAATCAAGTCCATTAGGTCAACTTCTTTGTACAAAAACAATTGAAACACAAACACAAATTACAAAACGTGTTTCAACGTGTTTATTCGATCGTAATCTATATGAACGTTTAACGCATCTGATTCGTCTGTTACCTAAACAATGCATTCGAAGCAATGTTCAACAATTCTCTATTCGGCAAAACAGCCAGCAACAACAACAACAACACAAGCCACACCGTTCAAATAATGATAACCGACGTCCATCCCACCGAGCAACGTTTCAACAGAATTTATCGCAAGTAAATTCTCCAATACAAGGCTTTCCAGGGGCTCAAAATTCCCGTCAATATGTAAATGCGAATTATTCAAATCAACAAGGAAATCCCGTTGGATATTTTGTTGATCGAAGACAACCACAACAACAACAACACAATCGATATCCACCTCCGCCAGCTGCCACACAGCACTATGGTAATCAATATCAACAAAATCGGCATCCAAATTCACCGTCCTCTGCACCCTATCCAAGTAATCAACAGCAAAGACGTGCACCGAGAAATAATGCCTACAGTACTGGATTTCAAGCACCAAATGATTATCAGCATACTCATCATCAACAAGGCGCAAAAAAAACCTCAGGTGGTGGTGGTGCTAGTAGCAGTAAGTGTTCGCTTTTTCTTATTTTATTGTTTCTTTTGTAAAACAAAAAACGTAGAAGTCAATAACAGGAAAAAAACACATATCATATGTTTTGTTTTAACCAATAGGTAACAAATTGATGAATGAAAAATCAGGTGTGCCTGGATCTGGTCCAAGTTTAAATCCGAGATAAATCACAAGTGGGATAAAGCCAAAATAAATACCATATGGACTATAACCAAGTACTGATTGCAGACGTCGTTTTATATTGTCTGTAGATTTTTGTTCTGTTCGCGATAATGCACTTGACGACCCCGGAAACATGATTTATATTGTATCTGAAACAAAATGAGCTTAGAAATTATGTGTCATCTATATATTTTGTCTTTATCAGTGATCCGAAATTTCTTTTTCTTTTGTTTGTCTAAAAAATTTTCCTTTTGGTGTGCTGTTTCTTGCTCGTCACATTACTCGCAAATGCATTTATTCAACTATGATGTGATTTTCGCTTGAAATATAAATAAACATGAATGATTTTTGATTGATATTATCTAATCAATGGTCGAGATAGATTTAAAAACAAAAACATCGAAATCAAACAAAAACGAAATAGAGAATTTTAGGATAATTGGGATATTTGTTTAAAAAAAGACAAGAGTATGAATGAAATATTCCGTTGAATATAAACAGAAAAACTACAAGTGAAATTTCCATTTGACCATACTTTACCAACAGATTAAAAACGTCATTTTTTTTAGCGTAGAAAGTAAATATTTCTTAGTTACAATTTACCTCAAAGAACAGTCAATTCTTTTCGCAAAACAAAAAAATTCTTGCAGATGTATCCAAATTTTTCATCTGTCATTTTTTTCTGAGTCATATAAAATCTTTTAGTTAATTAAATGATTTACTCACGAGTATTTGTTAGAAGAGTATTATGAAAAACTGATAGTATTTTTCGTCAGAAACTAGTTGTAGAATTTGCTTCACGTTATGATTACCTTATAAAATCTAGATCGATGAAAGCGACATCTGGATTCTGATATTCTGCGCTTTCAATCAAACGAATCGATTAAGAGAATCGTTTACTGTTGTTGATATCTCTGTGGATATCCGTATTCTATTCATCGTTTGATCTTATGTAGAAGGATTTGAATTAGATACTTAAACTACATTACTACCAAAAGACATTCTAACACACGTTTGTCTATTGTAGACAAACATATTCAAAGATATTTCTAATAGCAAATTGTACAGCCAAACGATAAAAATTCCAGAAAATGAATTCTATAATATTTGAATGATTTTTCAACACGTTCTAACTGTAAATAGGTTATATACGAATATGTGTGTATATAATTTCCACGGTCCGTATCAGAAGAACAAAAGATAAATAAACTTGAATTATTATTTTTTTCTTGGATTCTCTTAATTTTTATTCCAAGAAAAGAGAAAAGAAGAAATAGGCAATAGGAGTAGTTCAGCACAACAAAAAATGGTACGAATTATAAAACGACAACAATCAATGATGAATCATAGAGACAAAAAAAAACACCAACAAATGTCTTTATAATGATAATAAAAAGGTGAGGAGAAAAAAGGTTCCACGAACACATACAAGCGTGTTGTTAATAGAAGATCTGCTCGCCAGATTGCCTGTTTTATTTGAAGGTACAAAAGATGGAAAGAGCAACTACACCGGAAAGCTGCGCTCTTTCACAGGCGATGTTTTTTTCACGGCCTGAATAATGATGATACGATAAAAAATAAATAAACAAAAAATATAATCGAATATCAAAAGAAAAAGAAAAAAAGAATGACGAACAGGTTAAATAAATGACAACGAAAACAACAACAAAATGAAAAAAAAACATGAGAATGCTTTCCACCAAAAAAGAAGAGAATGAAATGACAATGACAAAACAAAAAAAAGCTGAGATGAATCAAGAGAGAGAGAGAGCAGAAAAAAATCATACAAAATAAAACTTGTGTACAAAATAAACGGAAACACGAAAATGAAGATGAGAACGAACAGAATTTTTTATAATCTTTTTTTTTAATTTTTTTTTAACAAAAAAAACCCACAATATATGTAGAAAGATTGCACAAAACAAAAGAACAAAAAAATGAATAATCAACTATGACGAGTAAAACACATCTAAATGTGTTGATTTCTTTTATAAAGTTATTATCAGAAAGAAAGAAAAAAAAATACGAGATCATCCAACGACTTATCCTCCACTAACAGCATTGATCCAACAAATGCGCTAGGTAGTATGGGAAATGAACCAGAAGACATTCATATGCGCGCAATGTTCACAAAACAAAAATCAAAAAGAAAGATCGGAATATAGACAAACAATAATATGAATTTCTCTACCAACGAAATGGTAATGTACGTGGACGATCAGCGCCTTCTTTTACCAATGGTTTATGATATTCTCGACCTGAACGAGCATGAATAGATGCCCAACATGCTTCACAGTAATATTGTAAACATGTTACATTTGCACAAAAAAATGGAGCGAATTTTCCACCGCAACGTGCACCAGCACATTCATCGCATAATTGATCATCAAGTACATATGGTTTGACTTCAACCTTAATAAAAAAACAGATGCATAAAAATGATGAGAAAAAAAATAAAAATATTGTCACTAACTCGTTTATCAATATCTCCATGTTGTAATTGTACAAAACGAGCTGATATTGCAGCAATGTAACTTTGTTGATTTGAAAAGGCTACACGACCGGCACCTTTTGGGTATTTTAATTCTGGATCAGTATCAATACCAGCGTAGCAAACACCACCATACAATCGATCCATTATCATTGCTAATTCGACTAAATAAAGAAATACCAGTTAGTTTCTTATATAAAAATAGAGAATGTTGATGAAGTAGGTCATAGGACAGTTTTCTAAGGTTTTAGTTATGAAATATTATATAGCTTCCAATGAATTATAAATACCTTGAAAATAATTCGTATGTTCCTGTGCAGCTACAACACTTGTAGGGCATTATTTTAATTATTTCTTGTACTTCCCATAGAAATACTAGAAGATACATTTTCGACTTGCGCATATATTAGGATATGCTTCGCTTTCGAATAAATAAACTATCAAGAAATTTTAACATTATCAGAACAATTCGATCTCAATGAATAAATAAATAAAACTCGTCTTCTATTAGATATTACGATCACAAATACAAAAACATGAAGCTTTTCATACTTTGGTGATGTAAATTTGATCTTTTTCTTCAATGCTTGAATAAGCAGTTCTGATACCAAAGAAAAACTAGAATGATTCTACTTCCTATAGAGATATTTACTAGATATGCTGCCGTAAATGCACAAATACCTGTCCGAACATTTCTGCCTGATTCAGATCTAAACGATCTATCGATTAGAGAACTTTCTTGTCCTGTTAAATTCATCACATGACAACTAATAGTTTCTTACCAGCACGTAAAGGACGAGGAACACCACCGACAAAAATAGTTTTTCTTGGATCAAGTGGTTGCGTTCCATCCATAACAAAATCAGAATCAGCCAAAAGCCATGGACGTATTTGTACAGCTTTATCTTTCATACTTGGACTTGACACACACATATAAAGTTTAGAATCATCAATAACACATTCATCAATTAATTCTTGTACTGAACGTTCATATGTAAATATTAAAAAAGCATAACCTTTCGGAGGAAAATAAGATTTGCTCTCTTGTTTATGTGGCCAATCAACAACTAATGGTCCAAACCGTTGAAAATGTGCAATAATTTCCTCTATTAGAATTATAAAAAATATTAGAAGATCAATTTTATTTTTCATTTTTTGAATTTTATTTTTTACCTTCATCAATATCGGGTGGTAAACCTCCAACAAAAACTTTACGCGAAAATCGTTCTTCTTTATTCATATCTATTGGCATAATACGTGATGATGAATTAAATAGGCCTGTTGATGATGATGATGATGGACCGCCAACTGACATTAAACTTTCTGTATCAAGTATACTGCCCATTCCACTATCTTCACTATAGACACGTTTAACTCCATCATTTGGAACGTTTCGCATCATGTCCATTGCTTGATAAAATGAACTCATATCATATGCATCGCCAGACTAAAACAAAAATAATTTAATATTGTATCTACATAAAATCGAATTTTTTTTCTTTACATTCATTGGTGTAAAATTTTGTCCCATGTCTCCATTCATTATTTGTGATGATGATTGTCCATTTTGAGTTGCAAGAAAGTTATTTATCATCGATGCAGATCGTACATTGTTTAATGATGTTGAATTTTGACTTGTCGATGGTGGAAGAAATGAAAAGAAATTGTTTGGTCCTTTTTTCCCGTGCGAATTAGGATTATTCGGATTTGTTAACGAAGGTACCGGACGACGAGATCTAAAAACAGAAGAAAAAAAATAGAAAAGTCGTATTGTATTTCACAGAATAATAAAACACATACGATGTTGCCGGAAATCCATGTGGAATAGAAGATGTCGTATTCCATGTTGGCGATTGAGGTTGTTGTTGTTGTTGTTGTATATGAGACGGTGGACCCATCGATGGAGATTGACTATTCCATCGTCCATTCATTGGTAATGTTGGAACACCGTTACCACTACGAATATTTTGTATTGGAAAATTATGTGCTGCCGTTATTGGACGTCTTTGTGCTGTCTGCAAAAAAGAAAAGAAAAAAGTATATAAATACAAGAATCGACAAAAAATTCATTCAGTTTATTTTCTTTACTTGTTGATAAGACATTTGTTGTTGCATTGTCATAAGAGGTGTTGGCGATGTTGTTGGTGGTTCAAACATTCGATTGCCATTATGTACATCAAATGGATGATCACCGGATGTACCACTCAATGGATCCATAATGTTACTCCATGATGAACCTTGGAATGTTGTCTGAAGATCAGAAAGTACGCCATTTTGATAATTATTTGGTGCTAATTTTCCATCATTAAGTATTCCATTGCCATTAATATTTATTTGTTGCTGATCACAATGAAGTGATAATGATGGGTGTGGTGGTGGCGATGATTTTGTTGCTGTTGACGTACTATTGCTTGCATTAGCAGGAAGTACAAATTTCGTAGCCGAGCTTTCGTTACTCATTGAAGTATACGAATACCAGCTCGAGGAAAAGAAAGACCTGAAGAAGAAGATTAAGAAAAAAACAGATTTATAAATCTCTCTTTCTTTTCTTTTTCTTTTTTTTTTATCTATAGTGAATACCTCGTGGATGCGGATGAAGAAGTTGTTATTAACGAAAACATCCGAAGAAATGTTAAAAAAAATCTTTAAGCAACTTTCATTATCGTTTTGGCGCTTTATCTAAGACTTGGAAATATTTCATTAGACTTTCTGACAAGAAAATGATAAATCATTTCATTTACTTTATAAGTGTCTCATGTGTGCAAGCACGCTACACAATTATTGAAGAATGAAAGACACAATATTCTTTTTTTCACACGTCGGGTTGGAAATTTTTCCTTTTCTTCTTTCTCACGCTCGCTCGCTCGCTCTCTCTCTCTCTCTTATTCTTTCCCTGGTATAACGACAATAAAAAGAAGAAGAAAAAAAGATTTTCTTAATCAACAACAAAAGAAATATACTGACCAAATATAAGGATCGAACTGCAATGTTTCTATTTCATTCCATTAGTTTTTTAATCAATATGCGCGGCAGCTATTCGATTTTATTTTGTTTGTTGATCTCACATTCCGGTTCATTTGATGTCAGAATAGCCATCAACAACATTCTGAGGTCTCTCTATTCGTGTCATTTAATTTTTGTTTAGTTAGAAATAGCGTCGAAAAAAAAGAAATGATGAAAGCGGAAAAAGAAGAGAAGATGAAGAAATACTATCAGCTGCTAAGCTTGACTAAAGTCTCCCTATGGTCTTCTTTTTTATTATTATATATTATATGTAACATAAAAAAAGAAAACAAATGATTGACATATTTGTTCAATAAATATAAAATTAAATTATATCATCGTTTATGTTTTTTTCTTATATTATTCGGCATAAATGCTGCAGTTACATTTAGCTCTATCTAAATGTTAATGAGCATTTTCCTTTTTTTTGCGGTAACGACAGGTAGAGTTCATGTTAGGTACGTTATATAGTAACTATAAAAATCAGTGAAGTATCTTTACTATTAATGACTCATAAGATATGAACTTTCTTAGCTTTTTTCTTTCATTGATCGAGTACAGCCTTCATATCCACTGATTACTGTCATGATTTTTTTTTTCTTGCTGTCACTATTTTGACATAATTACATAGTTTTATTTGAGAAATCACTTTTTTTGTATTATGTTGTCATACTTAAACACATTTTAAGTTTTTCCTCTATCGAACCACATGCTACTTATCTGAATGAATATTCATTCACTCCTTGTTAATTCAGGAATTAACTAGAATGCTCATGGGTGAGGTTTTTAAAATTTCAGTTTGTACTAGTAGAAATTAGTACAAAAGCAGGTAGCATTTATTTTTAAGAAAAACTTTTATATTCACACTTAAGTATGTTTTCCAGATATTGTTTTCATGCCGGAAGGAAAAAATCTCTCATAAGTAAGAATAGAATTTAGGATAAGAAAGTTTCGTTGGATTTCTTCTCTAATTATATACGATGTTCACAGAGAATTCCAGGTCGGATCTTATTTTCACAACTAAACGGAATAATCTAAATTAAACCATTGAAATTGATGGCATATTCAATAAAAATGATTTCATTTCCTTAATATCTTAAGTAGATATGCATTAGGCATAGATCGAACTCAATAGCGTGGGAATACGTTCCGTGACCTAGCATTAATCTCTATTGATCTTTGTTCTACGTCTAAATGATTATCATTTATGCTAGTTGCTTATATCGTGAATCTTGAAAAAAAATCATGTTCGATAAATTTAAATTCATATTTTACAATCCTTTCTTTTCTATCGTACAAAAATAAGAGAATTTCGAATAGAATAAATCCATAAACGAACTATAGCAGTAATATGTTTATACATACTCGATCACTTAGAATACGAAAAAATTCTCAGCTCATGCATAGTAGTATTGCTATTCAGAATGTAATCGACTTATTGTTTTTCAATCGCTTGGTTACTGAATAAACCTTTTCTTGTTCCATTCCACAGATTACATAGCCAAACAAAAAAACAACGTGTTGACATTGTCAAAAAGCTTCTGAATATATATCTGAAATCCGATTCTTGCAAAAAACATTCAGTAGAAAAAAGTTGATAGAGTCCTTATAAATCAATTTAAAAAATAACCATTCTTATCGTGCATAAGCTATATAGTGAGAAAAAAATTTAACGAGAGCTTTTTACAATAGTCGAAATCGGTAGTTTCCAAAAACAAATTTATCACAACTATTATTTTAACAACAAATAATTTGAAATTCTTCTTCAAAATTTAGCCGCGACGAAGTCTAACTAAAATTGCCGTTTTCAATATTTTATACTAATCACTTGGGCTTTTCCGGTGTCTTCAAGGCATTTTCTTCTAAGCCGACAGCTCAATGCGTCTAGATAAAATCTATTAGGGTAAACTTTGCAGAATGAGAACACGATGAGATCAGGATGTATCTATGGAGACTTCAAATTTTTATTACAGCATATCAAAAATATTCATGGTTCATGCCGTCGAACACTTTCTAGTTCGACTTTGTTTCATTGATTCTCATGGCGGCAGCTATCGCAAAAAATGATTCGTAGTTTTTGTAAATTACCTTTAAAAAAATGTTTCGACGACTAGAAATATTGACCGCTTTCGACTTGACAGCACACGTACATTCAAATAAAATAAAAAATTCAATCTAAAACAAACAAAAAACAAACCAGTCTATTTATAATAGATCTTTGAAATGCTTGGTTAAAAAAAACACGCTTCTTTATTGATACTGTTCATGCAGAGTATTTAAATTATTCATTAATTGTTCAAACATTTGCTCATCGAACTCATTTTCCTCCCAACGTTTTGATACAGTTTTATAGTTAATTTTTTTCAGATCATCTTTTAAATTCTCGAAAAATTTCAACGAATAGCTATCATCATTAAACAAGCCTGTTATAAATGACATATGATCATATTTTTCAATCCAAGAATCAGTTGACAAAAACATTTTTGTGCCATATTGTTCTCGTAAATAAGTCGCTATTAATTCAGCCGATGTTTGAATATTAAAATTATACACATCTTGATTATATAATTGTTTTTGTTCAATTCCACGAATAAAATAATGGCACGCAAGTGGTTTTTCTAGTCGAAATATATCATTGAAATCCAAATAATTATGCAACGTTTTATCATGTAAATCTAATGGGATTTTTGAAAATAGTTTTAAGAAATGTTTCTTCATCGGACATAAACGATCAGCCAGTAAATCAAGTGTTACATTTGAGTGTAACAATGAATGTTGAATTGATAAGGATAATTTAGATTTATCCTTATTACTACTAAGGCATGGAATTGTCGGCATTTGATTTTCAACCAATGAATGCACTACTGACATGGATAAATTTAATGATGAAGGTCTATCGCCGATACCAAATGACCAGATGGGTTTCTTAGGACATTCATCAACCAAATAATCCTGCATTGAAGTAAATAAACCGGAAAAACTATCATTAACATCGTATAAACAACGGAAACTTTGTAGTGAATCACACGATTCTAATAAATAGTGTAGAGAATGTTCGATTTGATCGAACATTTTCTTATAGATTTGTTGCCCGATTGGATAGATATCAAATTGATTTTCTTCATTATGATTTGATGAATAATACCAATAGTCAATCAATGGTATTAACGATTTTCTATTAAATTTCGCTTTTGTTTTTAAATTTTTCGACCAAAAATTATCATCAATCTCACGATTTACTATTTCAATTGATGAAGTATTTTCGGGTGATTTTACATTAGGTTCTTTTTCATTGAATAAAGTTCCAAATGTATTTCGATAATCAATTATTAATACACGAGGTGATGGAACATTTGTTTTCTTATTAAATGTATAATATGTATTATAATCGATTAACGTATTATCATGGGTATGCTCAACATCTAGTTGGTTCCATAATTCTGTACCGACATTATTGGAATCGTTTCCAATTTGTAATGTAACTATTTCACGTCCCATATCTGAAAATAAATAGTTTATATAAGAGATACAAAATTGAATTTTTCTTTTAAATTTCTGGGATCGAACTCAAAGTTTTCCTTATTGGATATCTCCGATACGAACGATACCAATAGAAAAACAATGTAACATTAATTTTAACAATGGGAAGAAAAAGGTGAAATGTGTGTAACATCTGACAATGGAATAAATATTATGGCCGCGACGACATGTCGTAACAACAAGTTTTTTCTTTTGACAAAACTAGACCAATAAAATCAAGTCAGAGACGATATATGATGTTATTCCAAGATTTTACTTCGTAAGAGCTCTTCATCGACTTTTCGGCTAAGGCACTTTCACTCCCTAGGGCGATAAACAAAAACTTTCTCTAATAGGATATACAAGGATCGATTAAGTACTATCAACATGCTATCAAAAGTCGTTTCTCACTTGACTCTAAAATACTTTGAAAAATAAAAATAGTGCCTCAACTTTCAGCGGCATGTACTCAATTAGAAGGGCTTAGGACCCGACCAGATAAATTTAAATTTACCGAGTTCCAGTCGGCTTAGTAGATATAGGGAAAATGTTGCAGGTACTTAAACGTAAATCCACAGTAACGCGATCTGAGTCTTCTAGTCATTGAATATATTAAGGCAATCCTGAATATTTCTAATATCGCGACATCCTCATATGAAAGTACCATATGAGATATGCTATGAGTCAAAAACAAAATATGTTTTGCATTCATTGAAAACATGCCGATCAAATTAATTAGATAGACATGAATAGTATATGCAAGTATTTTCTAAAAAGGTCAACGACGACTTATTTGAAATGTCGAAAGTAGTTTCCGGGTTAAAAAAACAGAAAGCATAATTTCAAAGCGATACATATTCGAATGATATAATTGTTCCAATGATAGATAAAATAGTAACATCTGAAATAAAAAGTAAAAATTTAGTATTTCGATATTTTGATGTGAGTTATTTTTAATGTATGCAGTGCAAAATAAAGGCTTGCATGTTATATAATTTATAGATCTACTATAAAGTCATGTTTTCTATGACAGTCGCTATTTATGGTTGATCCAAGAGTGCGTTTATTGGTCATACATACTTAACTAATAGTACAAAAGACATGTTTAAATTGTGTTGCGCACAAGAGACTTTATCATATAGTAAATTATAAACAATTCGATACGTAAATGGCTTCTTTTTCTCTCGGAGGAGCGTAATCACTTAAAATATAGTGCGCACATTGAATAGTTTGTTTTTATTACAAGAATATTGTTATACTATTGAAAAAATAAATCTTTAGAAAATGCTGGTGAACCAACCAGTGTTCGATGTCACATAGACACGCAAGTAGTATTGCTCAACTTCTCATTTCTGTTTCGAAAGAAGTGCAATCTATGTTTTCTATAGAGCTTGTTGTTGAGTTCAGAATAGAACACGATGAAACGACTAATAGTTAACAACTATGATTTCCTTTTCTTTCCTTTCCTTTTACTTCCTGACAGGCAAAAAAATGCGATTAAACCTAAATAAAAGATTCAATGCAGCACATATCTTACTGTCAAAATTTTACTATTGTTTATTAAACGAGGATGACAGTCTTCAGTACTAAAAGATTTGTTGAAGAATAGCTTTTTTGCGTTGCGGTATGTTTAATGAATAATAATGTCATAAGAGGATCAAATTCATTAGAATATCTAAAAGACACTCTACAATGTGAATTTATTTCTTAAGAGATCAAGTAACATTAGATGCCATGTGAGAACTTAAAAACAAAAATCATATTCTTAATAATCCATCAAATAAATTTTTATTCTGTGATGTGTTCTAAAAATATCTCGATTATTTACAAAAGAAAAAGAACTATTGTATTAAGTTGGTACAAAAAAAAAACATTCTAATTAATAACGGATTTCAACCGAATGCAATCTATATCGGTTCTCTCAATATTTCTTTCTCAACGTTAAAAAGACAGCATTACACAGAAGTTTATGCAAAAGCAGTTCAATCATTTCTTTTTCACACATTTTTATTTTTCTAATTTTGACGACAGTCTAACAAAAGTAACGATATAGACTCTGACAGATGGTGAATTTTTCAACGCTCACAAATAGAACCTTAAAATAAAGTTCTATGGAAAATATTTGTTTAGATTTTGTTGATTTTAAAAATACTATAAATGATAAAAATAATTTCTGGGTGCAAAACTATAATCAAATACTGACTTATTAAATTTCTAGTCCTGATAAAAATATCCTTGTACCATGAACAAATTACAATCATTCGTAATGACTTTAGTTCATTTTGAAAAATAAATCATATTGCATATACGAAAATACAAGTACCACCAATAGAAAAGTGCAATGAAAGAAAGTAGTTTTTGGGCTTACGAATCATAGAGATTAACTCATCGACTTCTTAGACTCGTTAACATTACCTCCATTCATATTCGTATTAACCATACGTGGGAGAAAATAACAACGAAAACACTATTTTATTTTACCTGTATACTGTTAGCACATTGAACTAATCTATTTTTGACTGAAGCCATAAGAAACAGAAAACACACTATGCCATTATGAAAGAGACGTTTATCGTCGTATCGTTATCTTTCTCCTTTTTCATAGGTTATTTCTTTCATACTTAATTTGAACTACTTCAATCATAATCTATATGTATTTACATATTTGTATGACGAAGATATTTTAAACATAACTGACAAAAGATGAATCGAAAAAAATAATAAACAATTGACAACAGTAAACCAATGGAAAAAATTCATCGTGGAATTAGTTTGATAATCTTTGAGAGTAGACACAGGAAAAACATTTTTTGATTAAGTTTTCCGTGATTGAATATTTTATTTTCAATTTCGAAAAAACTAAATTCATCACAAAAGATGTCGCTCGGAAAAATGAAGTATTGGCTGATCAGAATATAGTGTACATATATGAGAAAGTCGTGTTCTTGTGCCTTTTTTCGGAGAAAAAAAGTCATTTTTTTTGCAATAAATAATTATGAGTAAATCAATGTTTGTTTTCAAAAGATAAAATCAGTGTAAAATTACACTAAAAATACACTAATATCAATTATATTTGGTTTCAGATAAATCTTGTATACGATGTCAAATTCAACAGAACCGAAAACACCGACAGTCGAATCGAACGATTCGGAAAGAAACTATAATGTTGAAGAGGAAGACAATTCAGATGTGGACCATTTTTCGTGGGCTAAAAAGAATGTTTTAAGCACGCCAAGTGTTTTAGATACTATTGTGGAACAAATACATCCAGATATTATGGCAAGGTTTGTTTATTTACTTTTTAATTTTCTTTTAATTATTTGTCTTCTTCAATTTAGGTCGCATCAATCAAATTTTGTGATATTTCCACCTAAATTAGAGGGCTGTTCTGTTATTGACCTGGGTTGTGGCGTTGGTCGTGATGTTTTTATCTTATCAAAACTTGTCGAGGAAAACGGTCGAGTTATCGGTATTGATTCAGAAAAAGATCAAGTAAGCTGTCAAATTTTGTTTCTCATCGAAAATGATAGATTTTCGAAAGTAACAGCTGGTTTTATGTATGAAGAACAGTAATGTATTGTTGTGAAGTCACTAATATATTCGAAATTTGATTATCCTCGGTACAATTAGTAGCTTTTTTTTTATAGTTTTGAAGGTCAGTTCACTGAAAAAGTCTTATATATTTGATCAGAAATATTTCTCGTCTTCGTGTTAAACAAAATCTAATTTCTTTTTCATACTCCTGCATTCAAGAGAAGAATTTCGCCTGCATCCCAATGAATGATAGCACGAAAAATTTGGTTCTAAAATGAAACGCTTAGTTACGTTCTTCGATGTAGATGAAGCCAACTGTCAGAATGTTTGAAAGTGTCTGTGTAATATAGCGGGAAAAAACTGTTCATACTTTTTTGAGTAAGACTAAATCATCTCGAATAAAAGAAGTGGCAGAAAACTAGAAGATGTTCAATTTTATCTAGTTCCAATGGAGTTTTTTTTCTTGGTTGGCATCATGATAGTTTTAGAAAGATCTGCTCAATTAATTTCTTTCCCTGTTGTTTATTTTGATCGTCGATGTATTATCTATGAATTTTACTAGGCAAATGTTCACAGTATATCGATTGTATTATTTGAAAACTATCAAATAAAAGTATTGTTTAACTTAATTGCAGTTTTGAATGAAAACTGCTTTTTATGAATCAAAATCTCACGAATGAGTGTCGATGTAAACAATGAGAGTCACTTATCTATGTTAAGATACCGTTTTGTATTAATGCCTAGGTTTGCTGCAGCATTTTAATATCGTTCATATAAAATTGTAATCCGACACTTCAATGCTTATTGGAGTCAATGTGGTTCGGAGAGAAAAAACACACGTCAATTACACCTAAGTAGGAGAAATTTACTATCGACTAGCCAACGTTAACTAAAAGTATGAAATACTATGTTTCCACCTAGCCGTCTACCTATAAATATGTAAGGTATTTTTGAATAAAATTATAGCTTTGCCTAAAACGTTTTTTTCTAACGGAAGACCTTGAAGTTAGAATCTTTATCAATTGAAACCCAGAATCTTGGCAATTTTTCTTTTTACTTGAGCAAAATTTCAACTTGTTAATTTATTCTTGTCAATCCTCGTACGAAGCCGCTCGCCTACTTAAATTCAATCGATAAGTTGAGTCATTGGTCTTCTGAGAGTCCTTCTTTCGATTACATCTAGTTAAGCATTCGACAACGATACTAATATTTATCTTGCGTTGTGACTGATGATGATGATGTTCAATGAAAAATAAGATCTAAAGAGTTCTTGCCTAGAAAATGCCATTTTTGTTTTAGTTGGATTTTGCTCGTCAACATATCCGTTATCATGCGAATAAATTCGGATTGATGAAACCAAATGTTGAATTCATCCATGGAGAAATTGATAGATTAGAAAAAACAAAGATTAAAGAAAATTCAATTGATGTTGTTGTGTAAGTGATAAAGAGCTGAATTGAAATGTGCCTTGGCATTAGAAAAATGTTTATAGGTCAAATAGCGTTATTAATCATCGACGAAATAAGAAAGCAATCATTGAAGGTGTTTGCAAATTACTCAAAGTAAATAATAATTCCTACGTTTCCATAATGAATACATGGTTACGATTATTTAATAGGTTGGCGGAGAATTTTTTTTTTCGGACGTCTATGTCAATCGACCGATACCAGAAGAATATCAAGAGTTATTATCCGGTAAGCATTTTATTTCATTTTGTTTTCGAATAATAATATTTATTTTCTTTCTCTTCGTATTCATAGATGAATATATCAGCGGAGCTCTTCAATGGGAAGATTTAATATTGTACGCAACAGAAGCAGGCTTTACGCAACCACGTCTCGTTACAGCTAAACCAGTAACAATTGAAAATGAAGATATTCAACAAGCCATTGGTAATAAAAGAAATCTTAATTAATAAATATGAAGAAAAAAAACATACTTTCATGTTGTTTTCATAGGTGACGCGAAGTTTGTTTCAGCTATATTTCGTTGTTTTAAATTACCGCTCAATGATAACCATGCAACACTATTTAATGTACCATATCAATTAACATATGAAACACCGCTACTTAGTTGCGAAGAAGAATTTTTCTTTGATCATCTAACTCAATTTAAAGTAAAAAAAATAGATGTGTTAGTACTTAAAAAGAACTTTCTTTTTAGCTTGGTGAATTATTGGTCGTACAAGATCCAATGATTGCTCTTGCATTGAATATAGCACGATATAGGGATAATTTTATTTTTGATCCAATTGAAAATTCAAATACGAGAATGACAACGATTGAAGAAGTAATATCTGCAGAATATTGTTGATTTGTGTAACCATATTTTAAAGTACCTTACAGCAGATGAAAGATTCTATATTTATTGATATGAGATTGAAGCCATCAAAACTTGTGTTTTCTTTCTATTATGTATGTTTATAGGGTTGAATTTAGGAGTTCTTATCGTAAGGTGATATTTGTACCAAATCATTAGCTAATTTTGTTGCTGCTGCTGTCGCTTAAGAAATTTTCTACATAAGTCAATTTAGAAGAAATCTTCATTGTAAAAACAAAACAGTTCTATTTAAGTAATACAATTTGAATGATCATTTTAAATAAATAAATTTTATAATGATCAGTATTAATGGCAAAAAGCAAACGTTTCTTTAACCTAGAGTTACATATATATATATTTTTTCAAAACTAATGTCTCATTAAACGTCACAATTCTGAGTGCGCAATATACAGAAGACTGTTTTTCAGGCAAAATCGTGCGCATGTGTGTTCGACCGCATCAGTTTATACCTAAATAAAGGATTCGGATTCCTAGTTGTGTTAGGTAATGCTTAGAAATAGATTTATTCTTATGAAGTCTTTCTTATGAAATCATACTAGTTCTTGTGTTTTTCATAACTTTGCCTAAATCAAATCTTAGAAGTTATCAAGTGCAAAAAATCGTCAGTAGATTTTGCATGGTTATCGTACGAGTACTGGTATCACATTTTTATATACCATGTGTGTTGGATAGTTTAGACATGATAAGTTTTTATTATGAGAAGATATATTAAACAAAAACATTTTTGCTCAGCAGCAAGTCGAGTCATCCTATAAAGTTTCTTATTCGTTAACCCGAAACAATTGTTTTGTTCTTGACATCTGCAGTATTCAAAAATTGACCGAATTTCATAAAAGTTGTAAGTATCTGAACGATGAATATTTTCACAATAGAGCTTTTATGATGTTTACGTAAAAAGAAAATGCAAACATTATATTTGTACTGTAATATGACAAAAATTGCACTTGTTATATTTACCTAGAGCGCAAATAAAATAGGTTTAATCCGAAATGTTGTCTCTTTCTGATAAGATATTTTTAACATTTGCACCACGACATTTCTATGCTTTCAAAATAGATGCTGAATTGTATGAAGTTGTGTTTAGATATCATTAAAAATCGAATTAGAAAGTATTCCAGGTAGAACTTGCATTAGAACAAAAGAATAACAGTACAGTATAAGAAACTAGAATATCATGAAAAACTAGATGGTATTCGAGTTTCACTCGACTACGAAATGCGGTGCGAAGCACACGAGCCGAATTTTCGAAAGTAGCGAGAATAAGATTTAAAAATAAATGATTCACTTTAAGATCCATTACAAACGTTTATTTTTTTTAATTTCCGTATACGAATTTTGAATAAAAATTTCGCATTCACTACTCTTAAATCGACCATTTTGAAATTCATCACTAGGAAATCTCTCTGAAAATGTAACAACCAGTTGTGTAACAATTTTTTTCATTGAACGATTAATTATTTTAATGATTCACTATCTTAGATCAGATGCGAAGAAATAGACTATTGGCTACTATTACTTGATGACGTCATTTTAATTATTTCGAACTTTGAAAACGCTAAATTCCTTTAATTTTCGTCATTTTGGAATCACATTTGTGAGAAAACAGAACTTCAGATTGAAGATTTGAAAAAAGATGTAACAAGTTCGATCTAGATACTTCTATCTTACGTTTTGACGACTTTTCTATGTTTTTCGGTTCTCGAGATCATCGCGTCACGAAATGACAAATTTGATGCGTACGCCTAGTTAAAAAGTATGGAAAAAAAAAACTCGCGACGCATTACATAAATGCTGTGCTTCGCACCGCATTAAATACTTACTTTTATTTTTTTGTGCAACAGTAGATATCAATACAAATCGAAAGTAAATATTAAAACTAGCCGCCATCATACTCTAAGGATCGAATCAGTGAAATTGCAATGATGATGATTTCTGATATTTGACTTGTCGTATTCATTTTTTATTTCTTATGCATATGAAATTCAATGCTACCTTTCCATTTTTCCAAAAAGAAAAATAAAAAAATATGGTAAATTTACATTTGTAACTATCTCTACTAGAAGAGAAGTTCACTAACAGAAAAATAAATAAACATCTCTGCTTAATATTCTTACCCATGAAGTTTTAATGTAATATTAAAAATCTAGTAAAACTTTCCTAACTGCTTATAAGGGACCCATCGAATCGGATCTGTTGAAAAGTAATTCTGATCTAAGAATATTTCGTTTTACGTTGAAATTATATCATTTAAATTGGTGAATTACTTTTGAATTCAAACTCAGCTCTTAATTCGATGGCACTCTAAATAATGGAGAACTCTTGAAATAAGCGCATAATTGATATCATAATCGTATAATGAACATGAGCTTTTTTGTGCCTTTAAGCGTGACATGGCTAAGGATTAGCTTTTCAGAATCCTTAGATAACCAGAAATGGTATATCCCCATAGGATTTTAGTAAGGTCGCTTTTAGGAGTGCGAATATTTAAATTACATGTAACGTCAATCGTATTTTCTTTGATCTTTTATACACCGGTAAAAGCATGATAAACACTAAAAAGTACGTTGTTTAATCGATTTTTGATTAATTTCATTCTTTCTCTCTCACACGTGATACTTGTACCTTTTGAAGGCAATGTTCTAGAATACAAGAAGCGTCTTGTTTCGTACACTTTAAAGTAGATTTATTAAAATTTAGTTCCGAGAAAATTCTCTGAAGCTTAACAGTACCAAAAACGACTTTTAAAGAAATTATCATATAGAACGTAGAAAATTTTGCGGGATTCAAGATTGGCGATCTGTGTTTTCTTCATCGTAAACGTATATGTCGGAAATAATTAATTACATATTTTTCTTTTCTAGTTACAAGACAACAGTAATGAGCAGACTGGAGAAGTCTACCGTAAAACAACTACATCAAAAAAATAATTACGCCGAATGATTAACGTATTCAATGAAAAATTGATGTAGATACCACGAGAAAAGACTCAGAAAACTGTCGTTTACTATTCCGGTGTGTTTATTTTCTTTCGTTCTTATATTACAAAACCATTACATGATTAATCAAGCACAACATTTGCTCCTTTCAGAAACACTTTATCAGATATTTTAAAAAATAAAGCAAAAAATACTAACAGGCATTGTTTTAGATGTTTTTTTTTCTGGTCTTTTTGTCATATAATTGTTCTTATATCATTTCTCTTCATTTATCTACACTAATTTCTAATCAACTAGTATCAAATGTAGCTTGGAAAAATTTATTATCAGGTTCCATAAAAACTGATCATCATAAGAAACACAGTGTTACAATAAACGAATCACCGATACAAAAAGCTAGAACATGCTTTCGATTTTCACCTGGTAAGCCAATGTTTGAACAAACACGTTACATTGAATATCAACTCAAACAAATCGTAACTAAGCTATTTCTTCATTTTAATTTTATGAATCATTTTGCTTTTGCAGTTATCGGATTTTTTCAAAAAAACAGCGAATGCATCCATACATCGAAGATATCATTGTTATTAATTAGCATCATCACGACTCGCTCACTATGATCAAGTAAGCGAAACAAAAGCCAATTGTTATGTTTCTAAATTTAGTATTTTAATAAATAATACATGTGCTATAATGTTTGTTCTCTGTGTACTTGAAAGTCTAATATTGCATGTATCGTTAAACAAACTCTAAGGGCACGAAAGTATAGTTTTTACTTAGTTCATTAACCGATGAGCACTTACGGTTTATTATTTAATGTTTCCAAGTGGTATTACCATGCATATTTTTTAATAGGAAATTGAATATATTAGAATCTTTGAGTCTCACAGAAACAAACATTGCATATATTTGATATACTCGTATAAGTGATGATTGGGGTTAGACGTAGAGCAAAATTTAAGCCTTTAGAGAGTTAAACCTCTTATTTGCCTATCAGTATTAGCGATCAAGTGGCATACTTAACCGTTCATGTGATCATAATTATTGATATGTACTTCTTTGTTACTTGAGATGATAATCTTTCTGGTATAATCAAATTTGAGCGTTTTTCTCGATGAAAACGGTAGATAGTTTTTCTTGAAGTCGAAGAACATGTCAAAAGAATTCATCGTTGATTTTAATTTAAAAACCAGATGCTAACGAGGAAACTTCCGCAAATAGCCTCTTCCGATTCGAATGATATTTTTAACTATCGATATATACCTGCTCTCTACAACTTTCCAGTAACGAAACTAACGTAATCAAAATACAGTTAGAGTTCTAATGCTTCAGAAATTTGTATTTAAATACTATTTAGCATCATTATTAAGATGCTTAAAATCTGTAATGGATATTTGAGATGGTTTCTGTTTGCAAGACTTGAGGTTTTCTGTTTGTGAACTATCAATCTAAATAGTTTTTTCTATCAGTCAACTAAATTTATGTAGGTGTTATCTATATAATGCTCTTAACGAACTAATGAAATTACAATATGCCATACTTTGGCATATTAAAGCATCGGCGATGCCTAGACGAATGAGAAGCAGAAAATATGCTTCTTTCCATTTGGTTAAGTATCAAATATGAGAAAGCAGGCAGATAGACAAAAAGGCCCTATTAACCACATCAGGAATAATTTCTCAAAGAGCAAAAAATAAACAAATAACATTTCCAGATATCAATAGATGTCATAAATTCCATTTATTAAAAATCATTCAAATTAACATATCAAGGACACGATGATAATTGTGAATCGAATTGCTAAAGCCTTCTATCAATCAAAAAATTATTCAAATTCAAATACGTTCTATCTAGATGTTAGTATGCCTACAAGTCATGCGAATTAAGATGGCTTATTATTGAGAGCAATACAATGGAAGCTTATGTCTTAATCAATGAAGCCTGATTAGGAAAAGCTTGAGATGGTTCGTAGCCTGATGGATAAGGATTTCATGTAGAGCTGCAGCATGTCTCTGTAAAAAAGAAAGAAAGAAAGAAAGAAAGAAATGAGAATGAAAACAAGATAACATATCTATTCAAAAGAAAATATCTTAACCTATCAGAATAAGGTGAGATCTTTGAGGATTGCTATTTACGGAGAAAAATAAATGTGTTTTTTTTTTAGGAATCATTAGAATGAATAATACAGTTTAAGGTTCAATGACATGCATTGAAATAATCATTCTTTCAGCGATTACAAGTACAAAGTAAGTTTTATTTTAGGATAGCAAGTAGTTGTGCTCTATCATTATTTTGCAATCGAATAATATCAAATTTGAAGTTAATCAATGTAATTATTCATTGATCGAACACAAACATTGGCCAAGAATCAAATTCTATTAAATTCATTGGCTTATATCAGGTCGAACAAAGACTTAAATGATGCCGCTGAAAATATCCTGTATAATTACATGGAGTAAGAAATAGAAAAATCACAAGTCGTTTTTAATCTTCTTTTGCCTTTCTCTCTATTCAAGACGTGTATTAACGGTGTTTCAAAATTTTATGTACGCGGCGATGGTCGGACCTGTAAGCATCGTGTCGATCGAGTAAATGAGTGCATATTTTAATTGGTTATTTTTAAAACAGCCTATCCTTTTTCTTCTGTATTCAAGATTATGATCGATGAAGATAAATAACTTGCCAACAAAAACATCATTAAATAAAATAATTAACTATGACAGCTATTGTCACTGTCACAGCTATTTTTAATAGTACATTGAAACAATGTGTGTTATTGTTTTGTTTTTCAGATAAACTAATTGTTACTGCTGTAGATTATTTAATTATTTTTATTTATTAACTATCAAATAAAATATCAATCAGGTAAATAGGAAAACAAACAACATCCTTTTCTTTTTTTTTCTTTTCGACATGATTACTAATCGATATAAAATAAATTATCGTAAGTTCGTTACTCCCATAAGGCTGATGTTATGGAAGTCAAATAGTAGGAATAAGTAAGACTGGCATGCTTTGTTTCTTATTTATATATATATATATATAATGCAGTACTGTAAATCGTCGAATAAGAAAAAATAAAGAATGTTTCGTGCTCGATGAAAACATTCTTTCGAGATAATTTTGCTTTTCCTCTCTCTCTCTCTGTGGATATATGACGCAGGTTTAGTGTTTCGTATTAATTTTGTTTGAAATTTCATATAACGGAAAAAATAGTAATCAACTAAAAACGTTGAAGACCTTTCAATAGAACAATTATTTTATTTTATTTTTTTCCGATGGAAACAAATCGTACTACGGATGTAGCACATCAATTGATGGATGATTTAAAAAATAATGTAAACGCAATAGGGCGATCATTACTACGAATTATGACCGAGCTAAAACCACGGTCACCTTCGAGTGGTAATACTTACTAGAACTAACTCATTAAACTCATTGTTTACTACTAATATATATATATATATATATATAGTTTCATTATATATTCAAGTGCTTATACTCTACAGTTTGCTTTGCGTTGAAACAATAATAATGATGAGTGGATATTTGAATGTCACAAGATATATTTTACGAAATACGAATAACAAAGAATAAAAAGAAGAAGAAGAAGAAGAAGAAGAAGAAGAAAAGATTCTCTTTTTTCGAATTGTTCTTCCATGTTACCGCATTCTGACTCTATCTCAGTCCACTTGTTTGCGTTGTTCTGTTTCTTTTCATCTCTTTCGTTGTCTTTGACTCTTTCTCGTGTTCTTTACTTCTTTTGCCGTCGATAACTAAACGAAGAGAGATGCCACATCGTATGCGCAAGATTGTTTCGAGATGTCGACCACCATTTATTGGAACACGGCGTAATCGGCATAAACATGGTGCAAATCATAATTGTATGTGTCAAAATAGTTTTACTCGATTTTTTTCGGCGATTTTATGACAAAGACAATATTGACTGCTAACAGTCAATATCAGCACAAGATCATACTTTTTCTTATTGTCTTCATTGATTGTAAAAGGTCGTATGGATATTTTCGAGTGGTTCTATTATACTCAATTATTTTCCTGTATATACATACTAAATATGTCTGCGTCTATCTTAACCTTGATCTCGATCTAAACAATGTTATTTATTAAGATATGATAGCTATGTTATTTTGTTCTTCGTACTTATTCGAGTGAAGCGTATCTGACAATAACAAATAGAATGACAAAATCAACACTAACCAGATTTCAAAGAAAGACATAAAAGAAGAACAAATGCCGCCTCTATTGATAAAAAAAAAAGCATCCCCCATTTTGAATGATTATTATCATCATAGCAGCTGCTTAAACAATAAATAAAATTATAAAAATAAATAAACAATAATGAAAACAATAAATCTTATTTTCTTTTATTTTTCAGTACCTGAAGATCCAGCAACTGCTGATTTTACCACCCTTACTGTCAATGAGGCCAATACGACAAAGACAAATCATATAACACTAAAAGATTCACCTCAAATACCAATTCATTCAAACAATAAAGATTACGGTAACTACTGTAAATTAACATTTAACCAGCAGCATAAATCAAGAAAAATTCAATTTTCAATTTCGTATTAGATAATCAATCTATTTCATCATCATTAAACAGCACTGCGAGATCAACTACAATGCAAAATACGCCTAGTTCATCCAACTTAGGTGCCATGGGAACTGGTATTGTACCACCACCACCTATGCATTATCAACTCTCACAATATATGCAATCAACAACACCGTCAGTTGCCAATGGAAAAGATGAAATGCGTGGATGGCTATATAAATGGACAAATGTAGATTACAAAACTATTTTTCGTTATTCAAGAAAATTTCTTGTTTTCTTTATTTAGTATTTGAAAGGTTATCAAAAACGTTGGTTTGTTTTACAAGCTGGAGTATTATCCTATTATCGTTCGCAAGATGAAATGAGTCATACGTGTCGCGGTACAGTTTATCTTGAATCTGCACAATTATCAGCAAATGAATCGTGTCACTTTGTTATATCAAACGGCTCAACTATACTGCATTTACGTACAAACAATGAAAATGATAAACAAAGATGGATGAATGCATTGGAATTAGCTAAACAAAAAGCAAACAAAGCAGGAAAACAATATCCAGATTCCGATGAAGAAGGAGCGTTAGTGGACGATTTAAATAAACGATCAACAGATAATACCAGTGATCAAGGAAAACAATCAATGACTACAACGGATCGACAAGAATTAGCCGCAATGAACAAAACATTAGATGCAAAATTAGATGATCTTAAAATGTGTATGGATCTAATAAATCGTCATTATCAAGCGCTTCATCGGACACTTGCAGATCTTGAACAAATCGATAAGTCGGATGCTACTATAAATACTATTAAAAGTGTTAATGAGCGTGCAACACTATTCCGTATAACATCAACAGGTAAACAAAAATATTCATGATGAGGGTTGTTCTGTTTTTGTTTTCTTGATTTGTATTGGTTATGGCAAAAGGCTAATGCGTAGTTCTTTTTAAATCTACGCACATCTATCAACATAAGAATATTTTATTCTAGTAAAGTATGAAAATACTAAAAACTTCTTATCGCTAAATATCTCGTTGACATTATATACATTATTGGATTCGAAGAATTGATTGATTTTGTATTCGATAGAATAGAAATAAAAAGAAAACGTTTATTCTTCTCTTTCAAAATGTTGCATGTACTTTTTAAAATTTTAGCAATGCTCAATGCTTGTCAAGAATTAGTGCAATTAATTCAAAAACAAGGTCGTAAATGGCAAAAGGCTATTCAATTTGAACATGATGCTCGCATGCGTATGGAGCGTATGTGTGAAGAAGTTGCATCACAAAGTGCAAAGTTAGAAAAAAGAATTCAGCGTGCATCACGTAAAGATAAAGAATTAATAAAAACATCCGATATGCGTAACAAAAATGAAGATAGTCTTTCATCTGATAGTGATGAATTTCATGATGCCGAAAGTGTTTTTCGCATTCCGTATGTAGATGACATTTTGTCGTTTGCTCTTTTTTTGTAAGTTTTTATTTTCTCCAGACTTCAGCATCATACGCCCAATAGTGATAATCAATCCGCAAACATTGTCGACGACGATGTTAGTTCATATAATGATGAAGATAATGAAAGTGGATCGGAAGAACAAGACGATGAAAATCTACCTGTTGTTATAGTAAAAAGTATGTTTTTGAAACGATATTTTTTTGATTATTATAAACTTTAAAAAAACAATTTTCATAAGGACCAAAAAAACCTGATACAACAAATACTCCCCCATTGGCATCAACAACAACAACGACTATGCAGAAACATATAAATAATGGTCAAAAATCTGCTACCTCAAAACGTAAACGTCGTGATCGTATTTTAGAACGTCCTAATTATAGGTAAACTTTTGTTTTTTGAAAATACATGACTTTACTTGTGATTTTCAGTATTAACCTATGGAGTATCATAAAAAATTGTGTTGGAAAAGATTTATCAAAAATTCCAATTCCAGTTAATTTTAGTGAACCTTTATCTATGTTACAACGGATAACCGAAGAACTTGAATATAGTTCTGTACTTGATGCAGCAGCTAAAACAAATGATAATTGGGAACAATTAGCCTATGTTGCTGCATTTACTGTGTCTTCATATTCAACAACAGCTACAAGAACCAATAAACCTTTCAATCCATTACTTGGTGAAACCTTTGAATGTGATAGAACAGATGATTATGGTTGGAGATCGATGGCTGGTAAAGACATTTGTTACAGTTTATTACTTAATTCTACCTAATAGGTTATGTTTAGAACAAGTTAGTCATCATCCACCAGCTGTAGCAACACACTCTGAAGGACAAGGTTGGACTTTATATCAGGAATTCACTATGGGATCGAAATTTCGGGGCCAATATTTGAGTATAACCCCGTTAGGTAAGATTTCTTTGCTATTTGATAATGTCAACAGGTACTGTATCGGATTACAAGGGAAACAAATAAGCGACAACGCCTACTGATTCTTCTTACAGATCGCAAAATATCAATTAATAACAGGACTTTTGTTTTTTCCATCTCATTATAGAATTAACAAAAATGATCAAAATCTAATATCTATAAATGACATGCGTGAAAATATTCAGTTATGGTGACATTCGAATGATGTGACCCGAATTTTTCTTGCGTTCTCGGCGCCTAAAAATATTAACAAAAGGAAACTCGTCGGGGCTGCAGGAAAGTAAAATTGCTAAGAACGGAAATGACACTTGCGAGAAAAACAATTGGTTCTGTCGGAACTTAAGTTTATAGTTAGATATTCTAACGCTTTAAATGCATTATCTTATCAATCAGAAAATGATTCAAGCGAAATAAATAAAAACAACAAAAATCAGTATTGAAGAATAATTTTGTTTAGTGATGCGAATGAATTTTTATTCTCTCTGCATATCAACATGAATTCTTGAGAAACTAAAAAAAAATAATCATCAAGACCGGCCTGATGGGAAAGCAACTGCCATGATCGAGATCAAAATATAAAAATTCTCCTTTGAAATATATATTTCGTTCTGTATTCAACCGATAGACAGCACAATTTTACCTTTTAGGTTATTCTCATCTTGTATTTAAAAATACTGGTAATCATTTTACCTGGAAAAAAGTAACTACACTTGTCAATAATATAATTGTCGGCAAACTCTGGATAGATAATGTATGTTGAATGAATTTTCATTGAAAATTTTCTCACATTCTATTTCATCTAGGTCGGCGAAATGGAGATAATTAATCATACCACAAACGATGTTTGTAAATTAAAATTTTTTCAATATAGCTATTTTGCAAAAGATGTCCCACATAAAGTAACCGGTGTTATTACTGATTCCAATTCTGAAGCTCGATGGGTCCTATCTGGTAAATTAAAACTAATATTTGCTTTTTCTGTATTGCTTTTTCTCTCTAGGTACTTGGACTGGAAAAATTGAAGGTGGTCCTGTTGAATCAAATCATCATCATATGGAAACGCACAATATGAAAGTACTGTGGCAACGTAAAATGCCACCGCCATTTTTAGAACAAATGTATAATTTTACTGAGCTTGCTATTGAATTAAATGAATTTGAACCAGATGTGGCACCGACTGATACTCGTCGTCGTCCTGATCAACGTCTCATGGAAGATGGACGTTGGGATGAAGCAAATCAAGAGAAACTACGCCTGGAAGAAAAACAACGGCAAGCAAGAAAAATTCGTGAATCACACAGTACTGGACATGATCCATATAGATCAAAATGGTTTACGAAACAATTCGATCCAATGACCAAGGCGAGTATGCACGTGTTTACAAATGAATATTGGAGATGTAAAGAGAAACAAGAATGGTCTAGATGTGATGATATCTTTTAACAAGAAAACACAACAGAAGAAAGTTATATTATAATTATCCAAATCATCTATTCGTTTTTTTTTTAATTTATTATTAAATACAAAACTGTTTTGTTCATTTTCTTTTTCATATTAATCGTTTACTATATTCAATACAAAACGTCTGCTCAGCTTTCTATGATTGTGAATTTAAAAAAAGAAAGAAAGCGATATATGTAAAGAGAGAGAGAGAGAGAGAGAGAGTTTTCGAGGGTCACAAGTAAAAGAAAATTATTGGACTTTTCTGCTTTTTTGTTTTTGTTTTTTATTCAATAATTAATATTTTAGATGGGATGAGAAATGAATAATAACAATTGATAGTATATTTTTATTTTGTCTTTCTTCATTCATTCATTCATTGCAATAAGCGGGAATCGTTGTATTATTGTTTTCGGCAGCATGATTCAGTTTATATTGATTATTGTGATCTCCTATTGTTCAGCGGCAAACAATGTTTCTCTTGGTATGTACTGAATCAACGTTAGAATTCTACAAAATTTTATTCTTTTCATCTTGAATTATGCAGTCTGAACTTGGACATAGATCTATTTACATTAACATTAACATTCAGAATCAATAGAAGTAAACACTATGGTACCATGTGCAATCACATCTTACCAATCGGATTCCTTTTTCTCTAACACGTTTATAGATAAAAATGCCGTCTTTATTTCCAACGACAACAGTAACCTACTACTAGTGATTTTATTCCCCAGTCGATTCTGTCGAAAACAAATCCGAGAAAATATTTGATTATTTTAAATGATTGCCTATCATGAAAAGTACTTGTAAAACTCCCATGACAAATTCGGCGGAAAAAACAAATTTATCTGTGACATCTATGTTCAATGAATAATAACTATTGTGTGATCAGTTAAAATTATTGCTTTCATGAGCGCTCATTTAAAGTTATTGTACTTTACACTGTAGGATCTCTGATAGAATGCTGGTAGTTGAATAACAGTAGGTCTTGGACAATAAAAAGTTATTTTAACATTTTTTAGAGACTTTGTTCTATTAGATATCCAGGTCGAAAAACCTGCCGTAAGATCTTATAAGCATCAGACAAAAAATCGTCGTCTCTGAAATCTTGCATCAGATTATACTATATTTCCTTTAAAGATCACACATGCAATTTATTTTCAATACAAATTTGTCGTGATATTTTAAGGAGATATTAGTTTAATTAAAATATCACAGCACTGTGATATTTCATGGGTAACAGAATCTTTCAAGAATCTTCTGATACGACTTAGTGTAAGAAATCAGAGACGACGATTTTCCGTCTGATCTTATCAAATCAGATGTGATCAAACGTACGATTCTTGTAAGATCTTGCCGTCTGGTTTCTCACCCTAGGAATGATTTTTTGAAAATTTTTGCGTTTCCTTGAGATCTGCTACTTCACACTGTTAATCGGAATTTGCAAAAATGACCCTTCTGACAGAATACTTTTGCTACTAAGAAACAGAACTAAAAAAGTATGCTTCACTCAATCTTTTATTGTCGTAATGCATATCATCAATATCGTATAGATTGAAAATTTTCAACTATTACAAACTTATTTTTACTAGAATCACTTTTCCGACTGTTTGACACTCATTATCAACTTTGTACGGCGTAATAAAGTATGTTTGTAATACTGTGTTTATCAAACATTAATTTATAGCTAATAACTATAGACTGTAAAATGCTTGAAACAATAGTGCCAACTCTTTTCTCTCTTTTCTTGTCTATAGTTGTAATGATTGTCTTCGACTTATTTTCATATTTTATGTATATGTTTTCTAAATTTAGGTTATGATTTTGGACAGTATTATTCTCGTGTTCGTATTTTTGAGTATAATGATTATTCCGATGTAAAACTTCTAAAATTTAACATATACGGTCCAACAAAATTAGCTAATTGGTTCATTAGTATTAATCAAGATGGAAAATGTGATAATTATTTTGCTAATATACATTAGTATAATAAAACAAAACAAAAAATTATTTTTCAATTTTCAAAAAATTTGTCTTTTCAAATTAGTGACCTTCAAAATGGTGCTTATTCATTGATCGCCCCGCTCAATGAATCTTTCCCTGACACGTATGTGACTAAGCGTCATGATTTAATCAAAACAGTATTCAATCGAACAGTATCCAATTCAACAGTTCAATTGAGAAATCCATTGAGAGGTACATGGTTTGCAACGGTAAATAGGGAGATTGATGATGTTAACAAAAGTTTTATTCTCAAACAAATTATTTTCAGGTATTTGTTGAACGTTTAACCACAGATTCCAAATCTAAAGTATGTCAATAGAATATAACTCGTCTCATACTAATATGAAATATAAAGAAGTCTTCAGGTGGCTGTAACTTCTATCTAACAACGTGGCTTGATTATCAAGCTCTATCAGTTTCATTAACATTAAGTCTTGATCAACCACTTCAAATCTTTCTATCAAACAACACATCTATTGTCTATGCATCGTAACTATGTTTAACATTTTTAATACCGTTTTTATTTATTCATAATATAATCATAATCTTACTAATGCACGATAGATAGCTTTAGTTATAGCACTACTTCATATCTCGGAATATTTGAAATATTCAACATCGAAGTCAAAACGAGGATGTAATACGAAACAATAACAGGACATCTGACCAGTTTTCTTCTTGTCGATACTCCAACGAGAAAGAACCTATTTGAACAACAACTGACAATACACGAAATGATCAACGAGATATTTTGCTTGTTTAGATATTATACGTCACCAGGCAATCCTCGTCTTAGTATTCTATCAGAATGGCTTTCCCCTTGTGATGTAACTATTCTTGGACGAATCAATGGATTGCCGGATTTTTATCAGTATGATTATCAGACTGGTTTGTTAGATTAAGAAAATGAAATTTCAAAAAACAAAAATAATTTTTGTTTAGTCTGTAAAAATGGTTCTTGTGTAATAGAAACCAATCAATTAAGTGCATTCGTTTGGATTTATTTTCAAATATCAGTGAATAACACATCCTGTTTAAATAATTCTATTCGAGGTTCTTTGCTTGTTCAGTCCACAGGTTATTTATTTCATTATGAATTTTGTGAACTTTTTATTTAAAAAACCTTTTTCAAGAATGTCTATATCATTCGATCGGTGATACCTGTATTAAATCATATCCAACTCAACGTGTTATGTTTACTGCTTACTATAATTTTTTATATATACCAGTAAATAGAAATAGTAATACTAGTTCAATGATATTGAATGGAAACGATTCATCGATCTATTCATATGAATTTATTGTTGATGATAGAAACATTGGCGGAACAATACATCTTGATTTTGAAGCTCGACTCAAGGTAGAAAAAGATTTTTGATTAGTATTATTCCATTATTTTCAATCCCGGTTAGAAATTATACTGGGATTGGAATAGAGGAAAACATATAGAAAATGAGAATGTAGAAACTAGTAATCCCGCTGAATAGTAATATTCTGCACGAGTACGGCCAAGTAGTAGCAATTATAGACATTTTTCCGACGTATGACACACACTAAAATATAATTTAATTTTGATAGAAAAAAACAATAAAGTCTCAATTGAGTATACACTGAAAATTTTCATTCGTCTTACAATGGTACGGGCTAACACTACTTGTAGGAAAAATTATAGCTATGCATAGTTTTGTTTGATAACCTCAATGGAGACTCTATTAAACATTGAGGATGGTAAATAGAAATTGAAAATCTCATTTGGTCATCAATGCTTGTGTATATTTCTTTTAGTCGCATGTTCAATCGAATGTCAACGTCAGTATTCTTGGTTGTGTATCTAAACATCAACCACGTCGATATCGTGATTGTGAAATCGATTATAGAATATACATTAAGCAAAATTCACCTGTAACCAGATCATTACCCTATCCAGAAATAGCTCTTTGGTACTTAACGTTAGAATACATTTGCAATGGGTAAATTTTGAAACAAATAATTTATTTGAATTATCTATTTGAATTTAGTTCAATGAATGACTGTGATAACGCATCATTGGCACTTACATTTCAAATATCATCATCATCGTGCACTCGGGAACAATGTGGAACATATGGTGTTTGCAGAATATTGACATCACAACAAAATATTTTTTCTGTTTGCACTTGTATTGCTGGTTAGTATAATCTGCGACAGCTGATACTTGACATAATTGATTGTCAAACAAAAGTATTTTGACATGTGAACTCGCCAACAAAAATATTTTATGTTTGAAAAAATTTTAAGTCGATTTTTATCTGTGGCTAATATTCATATAGGGATCTGCAGCGTCGGTGTACTGACCACCGACACTGCACATCCCTATATTCATATGATCGAGTTAATTTGTATAAATAGAAAAATATGATACCAACAATAGTCTGGATCTCATCGAGATTACAAGAAAAAGATCAAAGGTTTGAAGGAAATTAGTTGATAGATTATGCGCATCGATTATGAAATAAATCAAGCACAAAAACAACATGATGATTACTTTCGATCGATGACCAGAATGTTCTGTAGTCGTTTTTTGGAATAAGATCAGTACCGATAGCTTCGGGTCAAGGGAGAAATGGACTAGTTTCTCAGTGTTGAAAAATCGATAAAGACAATGGCTACTATCTGCAAGGCAAGTACTCAATTCCGATAGGAAAATTTCATTGAGATTATGAAATTAAAGTGCGATAGAACCCTGTAGAACAAGATGATTATAAGAGCTAATTAAAAAATAAGAATTAAATTACATAGTACTTGAGGATGGGTGTAATAGAATTTTTATGATAGTCATGACCTACTGTATTTGACTAGAGAAAAGTTCATCGAAGAATACTTTATTAAACAATCGTTGTATTCAAGAATATTTACAATGAACTTTGGCAATAATAAATAGGATGTTTCTTAATGTTTAAGATTATTTTAGGTTATCGTGGTTATGGTTGTACGGATAGTAGTTATTCGTATGCATCTAAATACTTACCAAGTGTTCTTTTTTTAACACTCAGTAATTTAATGTTCATTCCTGCAATTATCGTTGCAATCTATTATCATTTATATATTGAAGCACTTGTTTATTTTTTCAATATGTTTTTTTCAACAGTAAGCAGCTTTTTTTCGTCATCTTTAGAAGCACGACTCAATTTTTCAATAAACTATTTTATTTTCAATAGTTTTATCATGCCTGTGATCAAGATCTCCATAAATTTTGTATGTTTAAATATGATGGTTTACAATTATCAGATTTTATTGGATCATATTCTTCATTTGTTATTACCTTAATAACCTTATCAATAGTTCCACGAGCAGTAAAAGCATTTCTTTTTGTTTTGGGCTTATTAGTTTGTGTTACCATTAATTCACGTGATCGCTTTGATAATTTACAATTTATTGGTTTGATTAGTATTACATTTTCGTTTACCATCGTAACATGGGTATGTAGAACAACAATCGAGGACAAATGAGTGATAAATAAAATAACGTATTTAGGTAACTGTCTCAATTAAAAAACGTCGTTTACAACCATCTTTAAAGCGACTTTTATGGATTACACCGGGATTAGTATTAGCCATTATAGGTCTCGTTTTATTTGTTGTTGTTGAAACTGAAGACAACTATTGGTATATACATAGTTTATGGCATATATTAATGGCTACTTCGATTCTATTTTTCATACCTAAGAAAATAGGTAAGAAAATGTTCAAAGCATCTTGCATTTAGAGTTAACAAATTCAGAAGCTTCGCATTCGAAAAGTTACCAAATAGTTATAAAATCTTCGTTAGATTTTCTACAAGACTTAACCTTATTGTAATCTAGTTTTCTTTATTATGCAAACTTTTTAGAAGTGTGTTGTTAGTACACATACAACACATGTCTAAATAAATCATGCTTTTATTCTCTTTTTTAGAACAAAACCGACGACAAATACAAACCAGTAATTTGGAACCGAACGAGCATAAACTGTCAACACATGCTGTTAATCGAGGCGCTACATTATTAGATGAAGAATAAAACAGTTCTAATCAAATGAAATAATGCCTTGTGTGTGTATTTTTCACTATTCCGTCCGTTTTAATCAATACATCTTTACTTTTCTATCTGTCTTAAGATGTCGCTATCTTATGAGTATTATTTTTTTAATTATTCTTTTATTCTAATCAAATTATATTTTTTTTGCAATGAATAATTTATATCTACGTAAATAAAAATAAAAATAAATACTAACTGATTTCATCATTGGTCAATATATTTACCATCGGATGTACAACTGATTCTTTGTTGGAAAAAAAACTTTTTAGTAGGCCTCCCTCCGTGACACACCCTCGCGACGTGGCTTCACGAGAATAATTAAAACAATATCCAATGATTTTATAGTCAGGATTAAATAAATAGAAGCAATTCTCTTCTTGATTAGCAAATATGTGTACTTACCATGGAATTTTGGAAGAATACCCCCTTATATCTATTGATTCATTTGAAACACATAATTATACGAGTACAATGTTTTTCATTACGCATATTCATATGGATCATCTTGTGGGTTTGGAACGGCCTGAATTTGGTAAATATGTTGCAAAAATCAATGCACCTATTTATATGTCAGAAATCTCGAAAAATTTGTTGAGTACTATGGCACCATATAGACATTTAATACCATATTTCAAAACCGTTCCTATCGATCAACCATTTGCATTAACAATTCAATCCAATGATCCTGTGCAAGCAAAAATAAAAGAAGGAGCCAGTATGATTAAAACAGGAAGAAGATGAATAGAGATCTTATTTGTTTGTTTTTAGATCAAGATAGTATAAAGAATACATTATCATCGCATACGCCAGATGTCGGTGAAAAAATACTTGTTACATGTTTTGGATCAGGACATTGTCCTGGCTCAATGATGGTTTGGATAGAAGGCGGTCATGGCAATGTTTTATTTACAGGTGATTTTCGTCTTTATCGTGGGCAAACAAAACGAATTAAACATTTACATCGAAGACGAACAAATGATGATGATACCGATGAAACTTATGTATTTAAACCAATTGAAAATCTTTATATTGATATGACATTTTTTCGTCCAGATATTTTACATATACCAACACGTGAAGTTAGTTGTGAAGCGCTTATTTTATGGATCAAGAGTTTAGTAGCTGACAAATCAAATACAGCTAATATTTATTTTAAGACCAGGTATAAAACTAGTATTTGCATAGAAAGACAGTTTCAACCCCATTTTTCAAGATCGAGCTACTTTTAAAACCCAAATGAAATGTATATATATATATAGCAACGTTAAAACAAAAGAGTGAAAGTATTTTGAGGTACAACGACTGTCACGGTAATGATGGTTGTAGGTTTTCTTTTCAATCACACATTGCAAGATTGATGTGTGAGGTCATCGATTCAAATTTTCTCCTGTAAGCTGTTCATTTCACTGTGAAGTCATATAGAGCAAATTATCTAGTGCATTCGAGATGAGTTCATTCTATTCCGATTACAAACCTTCACTGAGCTTATCGTAGTACAATCGATGGGACAGTATTTATTTGAAGGGCAAAGCACGTAACATCAGATACTGAAAAACAAGAAGAATAGCTCTCATAAATTCAATATGTAAATGTCTCTTTTACTTCAATGATGTTTCGAATAATTGATAATAATATTTTTTTGTGTTTCAGCGCTCGCGTTGGCTATGAACAAATCTATCGAGCTCTGTACGATGGTCTAGGAATGCGTATCCATGTTGAACAAGGCCAATATGATTTTTATTCATGTATACCTTTAATACAAGAATGTTTAACAACTGATCCGAATACAACACGTTTACATGCATGTCGAACATCAGCATCGAATTTTGCTCAGCCATGCGCTTTTTTTCGTAATTGTGATAAACCTATCCGTGTACTATTGTCAATTATGTGGTTCACCGACCAAATAGCAGCTGGTAAATTTTTATGATTAGTTAAACTTATGTTTATTCTTAAGTGAAATAATTCTTTTGTTTTGTTCAGGTGAATTATTAGTTGAATATCATAAGTATCATTCAAATTTTGAACAAAGTGTATCAACATCCAATAAACGTTATTTCATTGGTTTTCAAGATTATGGCGGTGAAGGTGTTGACGTTTCCTATTCAGATAAATATCTAAGTTATCGTTTGTGTTATTCACTACATTCATCATTTTCTGAAATTGCTGACGTATTAAAAACCCTGAAACCAAAACGTGTGACGCCAATAGCAGCGCCATTTACATCTCAGTTGACACCGAAACGTCTTTTTCAAATAATTGATCATTACATACAAGACCCAAACAAACCTAAAGCAACAATAACAGAAGGAAAATTAATTGAAAGAATACAACGAAAACCAATAAATCAACAATTACAAGTAAAACATCGTTACGAGTCATTTCAAACAAAAGCCGAAAGAAAACGAAAAAAAAAACTTATTCAAGAACAACAACAAAGAAAAGATAACGATGATGAATTAGATTTAGATATTAATGATGAAGCTGAAAAACAACTCTTACAGCGTGTTAATTCATTGAAAGAATCAATTAACAAAAAAATCAAAACAATCGAGTCAAAACCAATTATTCGATGTATGCAATACTGACTAAAATTTCCTTTCAATTCGATGAAATTTTCATTTTAGCAATATCATTCGATTTATTAACATCTGAAGATAATTCACAAAAAGCAACGTCTTCTAAAAGTTCTCAATCTAGTCAACCATTCCCTGTTGTATTAAAATCTGAAGATACATCACATGCAGATGATTCCAATACTTCGTTGAACAAAGATAGTATTTTATCAGATATAATCCCATTAACAAGTGATCAATCTGTTGATTTACCATGTTCAGATGGTAACCGTCAACGTACATCATCAGATTCATCGTCAGATACTGTAGATTATGATTTTGATACTGAAACGTGTACAGCCATTACATCAACATCGATTGATACTATTATTTAAATTGTTTTTCTTTTCTTTTTCTTTTTTTTTTAATAATAATTTAAAATGTAGCTTTTGTTTTGTAGATCATGGGTTCTTTAGCGTTAACCGTTCTTACATTAACTCTTGGCATGTTTTTTATCTTTGTTGGTCAATTCAAAATTACACCACAATTTTTTCCCGACGTTCATGAAGATATGGTAAATAAAATCATTGAAATTAATTTTTATTTTTATTTCGACTCATTTTAGAGACGGGAATTCGGTCGCGTTAATAAAGTATTTCCGCTCTATGAAATGACTGGCTGGCGTCCATTTGCAAAAAATTATCGAATGGCAGTTGGTATTACTGAAGTTGTATGTGGAGCTATTTTAGTTCTTATACCTGGTAAGTTTTTTTTAGGTCCTTTTAAACAAAAAAGTCTTGTTTTATTTTTATTTTGTTTAGGTCGACTTAAACAATTGGCTAATCTAATACTTTTAGTCATAATGATGGGTGCTGTTTATACACATTATGTATTACATGATAAATTTGACCGTATGGCACCTGGGCTTGTGTTTGGTCTTCTCTTATTGACTCGTCTTATCATTTATCGACAAGTAGCACAACGAGAGCAACGCTCAAGTGTAGAGAAAAAAGCACCGAAATCATATACCGAAGAAGAAGAAGAAGAAGAAGAAGAAGAAGTCGAACAAGAATCGGAAGATCAAGAATCTCAAAATAACAAAGTTGATAAACCAAAAGCATCGCGTGATAAGAAAAAAGAAAAGAAGAATAAATAACTGTTTCTTTTTTTTTTGACTCAAAATTCAATTTAACATTGTACTGTGTGCGTCTGTGTTCGTTTGTTGTGTTTCTTTTTACATTCGAAAAAACAAAATTAGCTTTCTGTCTGCTTAGTGTCTCATTAATTTAGATGCTTCATAAACTCTGGTCGCCGCCTACAGGAAATCGTACCAATATTGATGATTTTCGAGATATTATTATGAATAAATATCAAGTTAAATTAGGTATAAAGATTCTTTTCTTTTCTCGAAAACGACAAATCAATATCTCACAAATTTAGAAACATATTGGGACTTATATCAATGGTCGCTAGATAATATTTCGAAATTTTGGGAAGAATTTTGGTTTTATATTGATATTAAACATTCTGTACCATTTAGACAAGTATGTATATTTCATATGAATTTTTTTTTGTTGAAACATTTGATATCAATGGAAAACTCTAGGTACTAGAAGAAAATAAAAAGATGGATGAAATTCCTCGATGGTTTTTGGGTGCTCGACTAAATTACGCTGAAAATTTACTTCGTTTTAATGATAATCGAACTGCGATCTACGCTGTTAGTAAGTGAACAATCACAGATTTTATAATCTTTAAGAAAATTAGGAAGTTTTTAGTTATTTTATGTTATCTAAATAGATATGTCTATTATTAGATAAGGTAAAAATTTTCTTCTGGTATAATCTGATTGAAAGTCTATTTATTAACTTCTGATCTTAAGTTAAGGGTTTTCAAGGGAGATTTCTAAGAATGAACTTGCCTTCATAGATATCGTTCTAAGCATTACTTATTGAATTTAGGTGAAGCAAATCCAACAGTGAAAAAATTGACTTTCGCTGAATTAAATGATAGCGTTCGTCGTTATCGTGCTGCACTTAAACATGTTGGTGTTACAATAGGTGACCGTGTTGTAGGTACTTGAAACGGTGTTCATTAAGAAAAAAATTCTATTACAAAAAGTATTAATTATTTAATGTAATTTAGTTTATCTGCCTAATTGTCCCGAAGCATTAATTATTTGCCTAGCGACAACTAGCCTTGGTGCAATATTTAGCGCAGCATCAGCAGATTTCGGTGTACTTGTATGTATTTGTTTTCTGTTTCATTCTGGGAATTTTTTTTTAAATTTATTTGTTCTTAGGGTGTCACCGAACGGTTTAGTCAGATTGAACCTAAAATAATTTTCGGTTGTAATGCTGTTGTATACAATCGAAAAACGCATGACGCATTAACTAAATTAAAAGATAGTGTTGCTGGTACGATTGAAAAGAAGCAAAATATTTTCTATGAATCTAGAGTTGTATTCGTTTAGTATTGCCAACTTTAAAACATGTTGTCGTCATTCCATTTGTTCCTGATTATTCAATGGATCTCAGCGGAATTCCGAATAGGTATTCATCGTAGTTTCATAATTTTGTTTTTAAACCCAATTAATTTTAGTGTGGCTGTTCAAGATTTTCTTGCAATGCCTGGAGAAAATATTGCGCCGCTCGAATTTGAACAAGTTCCATTTCATCATCCATTGTTTATTATAAGTATCATTTGTTTTCGAAAAAACTATATTTCTAATGCTTTTCTTTTTTCTTATTTGACGTGTTCACATGTATTCATCTGGCACGACAGGTGCACCGAAATGTATTGTGCATGGGCATGGAGGAACATTGATAACTCATTTAAAAGAACATAAGCTGCAAAGCAATATGAAAGACGGAGACATCTTATTTTATTTTACTGGTAAACAGAACTATTCGTTGTATTAGATCTATTGGAAGATTTGTCTATTTTTTAGCTGTTTCATGGATGATGTGGAATTGGGTAATGATAATGTCGTTTGTATTTAAATCAACGCATATGTTTCTATTTAGTTAATTTCATCAATTGCACTTGGTACGCCAATTGTACTTTATGATGGCTCACCAATCATACCAGATTATTATCGACTTTGGGATTTAGCTGATGAAATCGGGTACAGGCTTTTTTTAATGTTGAAAATACAGTTTCATAATTTCAGTGTATGAGAGTTTAAAAGTAACATGTTGACATTTAATTCAGATAACGTCCTCGATATATTTATGAGCTTAGCGTTTAAGCCAATTTGATATCTTACAATATTATCGCGTTAGAAAACTGCACTTGTTTCCTATTTAAACATTAGCGTTGTTCACGGCACTGAAAGACTTCAGATATTTGAAAACTTCAATAACTAAAAGACATTAGAATCGAGAAAAGATTTTAAAACTTATCACTGACATTTTTCTCCACTACAATATAGATTTACATTCTGAATGCAAATTTAACTTCTGTTTAGAATAACAATATTCGGCTGCAGTGCTCGTTATTTAACAACATTGGAAGAACATCAAATCTCACCTCGAACACACAATAAACTGGACAAATTGCATACAATTTTATCGACTGGCTCACCATTGCATAGCCGAATATTTGATTATGTCTACCAAGAGATCAAAGCAAATGTACTATTAGGTTCAATTACTGGTGGAACCGATATTATGTATGGAACAACGATATGTTTATTTGATTACATAAATTTTGCCTTTTTATTCCAATTTAGCGCATGCTTTGCTGGTGTTAATCCAACATTGAGCGTTCATCGAGGAGAAATACAATCTCCACATTTAGCTATGGCTATTGAATGTTGGTCGGAAGAGGGTATGAAGATTAATTAGTTTTCGTCCTCTTTTTTTCTGCACACTCTCAATGGATATACTTTTGAAGGAATCAAATTGGAAGGTGATAGTGGTGAACTTGTTTGTGTTAAACCATTTCCTTCGATGCCCGTTCATTTTTGGAATGATCCAGATGGTGGTAAATATCGTCGAGCATATTTCGATAAATTTCCAGGTTTGAAGATTTCAATCGAAATCTGCTCAGAAAAAAAAGAAACGCTTCTAATTTTAAACAGGTATTTGGAATCATTCCGATTTTTGTCTTGTTCACCCAGTTACTCGAGGCATTGTTATGCTTGGCCGAAGGTTTGCCTATTAAAACTTTATTTTTGAATAAAAAGATAATAAGGATTCTTTTCTTTTTCTCAAGCGATGGCACTCTGAATCCTAATGGTATTCGTTTTGGTTCGGCTGAAATTTATTCTATTGTCGGTCAATTCAAAGGTGAAGTTCTCGATAGTTTATGTGTAGCACAGCGAAATCCTGAAAGTGGAAATGAACGTGTTATTCTTTTTCTTAAAGTAAGCGAAACAAAAAAAAAGAGAAAAGAAGCCGAATATTTTTCCTTTATTGAAATGCATAATATTTGATGAACTGATGAATAGAAAAAAAGACAAGAATTGTGTCATCTAATCGCATGAAAATCAACACGTAAAATTTTATTGTTCTGTTTTTGTTTTAATCAAACAATCGCTTTTAAGCACTCGTCATTCGAATGATTCTATATCTTCGTCGAAAGTAGGGATCTTTTGGCACTGCTTTGACATAATAGTTGAATTCGTAACCTTCATTTTCGTCGTCATCATTATCCTGTTTGTCTAATGATGAAGTGCCATCATAATTAGCAGTGTCTCGGCGAACAAGTTTTATTTTAAATGCATCGTAATAATCTTTGATAGCTTTGAGATAGGTTTCAATTTGTTCTCTTGTTTTAAAACGTAATGGCCGTTCGGGCGGCGGTGGAATATCAAGATAAGATGATAGTGCACATGAAACAAGTGCAACGAATAACAGAAAAATAATGCAAGTGTTGCTCATTCTGAAAAAGAAAATAGTTTAGTAATTTACTATGTTTTAATTACTTACCTCAGCGAAGAAAACTAAGATATTTCCCAATAGATATAGTCAACTAGTTGAATGTTAGTTAGACGAAAGAATTCTTACAACTGAAGGCAAAATTCTCAATGAAATGAATTGTCTTTTCCATACAAATATATATATATATATATATATATATTCTTTTGATGAATCTAGTGAATTATAGGGAAAAAATTAACTTGGATCTGTAGTCACGCTATCTGGAGTTGTGTTTTTTTTGCTTACATTATCTTGCTGATCATTTTTTATTGAAACTATAGACGAACTTGGTTAGAAACAAGAATATAATTAAAATGATGGATTACTATTAATCGATTTATTGACAAACTCATTTCTTCTGTAGCTAGGCGTATGTGATGAAGTAGGTCGTAACAAAAAAATTCGGGTAGATCTAAGTAAAAACTAAGAGACTATAAAGATTCTGAGCTTACTGATTTAATGTGCTTTAATCTTAAGAAATATATTAGTCAGCAGCAAAAAGGACAACTAAAATGCTGAAAAAATTCTTTTCAAGAAGGATGTATATAATCCGATAGAATTTGTGTTGAAAAAATGTGAACTCGAGTACTCACAATTGTACGTGATATTTTATTTTAACTGAAACAATGTGTTTAATGCATGCAATCATATATAATCGCATTATTTTATCATTGAAATTCTACTAAAATGACTTTCTTTGTTAGCGCAATAATTAGTGATAGATTCGGGTATTTTTTTTTTTGAGGGAATCAAAGAGATATTATAACGAAATAGGTATGATAAAAATTTATTTTAATGAATTATAAAAAGAGAAAGCCGTCTTCTTTAAATAGTCGACAAATAAGAAAATTAGTTTCATCCATCGTATTTATAACCAAAGGAGTTTCCTTTTCATAAAAGTAGAGAAGTCATTTTAAGTGTCTTTAATCAATTAGAGACTGAAATACGGGATTCCCACGGAGAATTGCGAACGTAGGAAGGAGTAAGCCAGCGTTCATCAATGGCTCCTAATGACTGAGCCGCTATGGTCTGGCATATTTGGAACACTGATGAAGCTCATAGAAAAATATTGTTAACCAAAAAGGATAAAAAACTTCCTGTTCTACAAGGCTGCAGGTCTAATAAGCAAATATGAATGAAAATCCAGCGAGATGAATAAAAACCGACTTCACTAGTGATTCTTCTTATCTGTGAATAAAAATTGATTCTCGCATTCGAACAAAACTTTCAGTATAAAAAAATTGTATAACAATGACTAGGTAGTATATTTTAGAATCTAACAAAAAGAAGAAATCATCAGGTGACCTGTAAAATCAATTTCTTTATAGCTACAACAAAAATAGCATACATTGTGAGATTATCGATAGAGAACGTACATGAAATGAATCGCACTATTTCAGTGAGGTCTCCCGTTGAAACATTCTTCTCAGCTTAGACGATTGATTCCTAAATATCTTTTCAAAAGAAAGCGACTTAAAAAAAAAGAAGTACCTATTATACGTGTTTTATCTGTACTTAATGATGTAATTCTAAGTAGGTTTATTCTCTAAACAATATCGATCGTAGTGCGTTGAGCCACTAATCTTCTGCAAGATTCCTTTAAAAATCAACACAACAAGTGAAGATATGTCTGATCCTTATTTTTCTAGTTTCCGCTAACGTCTGCTTGTCCTAAATGTTTTTTTATAAGTGGTTCTATTTAACATAGATTTCAATAGAAATCTTAGTGTTTGGTAAAAATTCAAGTTAAACAAAAAGAAACTTGAATAAGATTGTTGGGTGCTAACAAACCTTTTTCTATTGCCGATTTACATGTTATTCAATCTCAAAATAAATATATTTCCATATTATTTTGCCAAAGAACGGTTTTTCTCGAAATTCTGTGAGATCTTCTAATAAATAGAATAAGACGCTCGGGTCTAAGCACTATCTGCCAATTGTTGCCAGATATAATGAACAATACTCGACCACAGATAGTGATAACGGCTCATTGTCTTATTTGAGTGACATAAAAAACAGGATACATATCTGCGTAGGTGTAGAATAGTAGCTGATGCGATATAGATATAGAAAATTGTTAGCAGCACTTTTATCGATATAACAAAAGTTAATTTCAACATAGATTACACACATTTTCGTCTTATCCGAAAACTATGAATATTCATTTTAACAAATAATACCAATTGAACTACGACAAGAGAACCTATGGATGAAATCAACTTTTAACGTGTTACAGATAGTCAAGGGAGCAAATCAAAATGAACGATGAATTCTAAAATGCGTCAGTGTGTTTAAGTAAAATAATCTTTGCTTGACCATGTACAATTTTCCTGAGGAAATACGTATATCGCGATCGAACATTTCAATTTGTTTGTCTACTGCTTATATTAAAAAATATCACCGAAAAACCTTTTTTTTGACTTGCCTTTCATTCATTTGTTTCTAAACAAAACTAATTATATGCTTTAGTGAATGTTATTTTCTTCCCTTTTTAGTTAATTAAGATAAATTATTCACGACATAGACTTCAAAAACAATAGTCTTACCGCTTCAAAAAAGGCATTGTTGTCATTTTTATTGTACAAATGTAGTTATTGACCGTATTCTTGAATAATGATTTTAGCTCGTGAGAAGAAATAATTTTATAGGGTGCAAGCAGGAAAATATACGAACAATATTCTTGTTCTTATAAGAATTATAATAATTTGTAAGAGATAAATACTGTTCTTTTTTAAATATGAATCCGTCGATGTCATGCACACTTGAATTAATCAGCTCATGTCAGCTACAGAAATATCCCACTAGCACATATGCGTGATTTATTTCAAGTTTAATTTTTCTACTTCTTTATTTTAGCTTGCAACAAATGTGGATTCTCCAAATAAATCACTTACTGATCGAATTAAAGCGGCTATAAGACAGCAACTATCAGCAAGACATGTTCCAGAATTGATCCTACAAGTACCAGATATTCCAGTAAATACAATCTTCTTACTTATCTTCAGAAATAAGCTTGCATAAGATTTGGCGTTTTCAAAAAAAAATCAACCCAGGAAATTCTATTCTGTTACTGATTAGTCGAGTCAAGTAATATTCATAGATTAAGATACATTATAAACCCTCTAATATATATATATATATATTCTATAGTTTAGTATATACGATTGATTAAATCGCATGAAAGTTTACTTAATGAATATCAATTAAAAATAGTTGTGTTGAAATATAATCAACCGAGTTAAAGATGTAAGTGACTCTAAGACATTCTTTCAACATTTTCAAGAAACTGTTTTTTGAAAGTGATGTGCAAACTCTTATTCTTTGCACCAAATAGTTTCCGAAAATGTTGCATCCACAAGTGCGTTTCCTTCCTGTTATTTCACACATGCAATATTCAATTAAATAATGCTGAAAATGAAAAGCAGGTGACGCACTTAAACGCCTCTTTTGATTTATAGTTAATGAAAATTGAAGTTATATTGAAGACAAGTATCATTGAAAATAGATTGACTAATTTTCATTTCTTTTCCTATTCGTTTATTTTAGTATACAATTAGCATGAAGAAAGTTGAAGTACCTGTCCGTCGTATAATCGAAGGCAAACAAATACATGCGACAGGATCATTAGCTAATCCAGAATGTCTAGAACATTATCGTAATATACCTGAATTAAATAAATGGTAATTCAAAAATTTAATCTCATCATTGTTATTCCTTTTTTTCTTGTGGTGGTGGTAATAGGTCGATTTTTTTCCTTTTTCTTTCCATGTCATCTACTCGGATTTACAATAAACATAATCATATTTTCAAATTTAATTCTCTAATTCAGGCATACGATAGCCAAAGCATATTGCATTCATGTTATAAGTTCACAATAGATATGAATTTTATTTAGCTCTTTTTATTGTTCGTGAAAAAATCGAATGGGAGAAGTTGTTTGTATACTTTAAATAACAACAAAAATATCGATATTGTTCTAATTGAAAACACGATCAACGTGTATCTATATATGCCAGTAATAATTCATATCACTTTATCATTAATTTTAACAGTTTATTTCATGCTGAAAATCAATAGAAATTGATCAAGAAATATATTATTTCATTTGCTAAAAAACCTTAAATTTTATTTTAAACAATTCGACTAGTCAAATTTCTTCGTAGGATGTTACATTCTATGTCCACTCTATCCTTGTCTGTTTCATTATTCTGTGTATGTATGACAACTTTATGCTATACTTAGAAAATGAAATTTTTATCTATTTCATCGATGATTTCTTTCGGCTTGATATCACAACGTGTGAAACTATTAGTCTATGGAAAGCATTATGATCATGCCACACATGTTAACTGGGGAAAAATTAGCGTACACTATGAAGCCATAGTCTATCACTTAGATCTCATCTTTTTAGCTTTTCATTTACTAGGATGCAACACACTCTACATTCATAAATAGTTGACTGTGTATTATAAAATGTAGAAATACTGACGGTCACCAATATCTCTGAGTGTGATCATTTAAGAGAAAATGAACGCTGATGTTGTTATGATTGCTGAAGTTTTTTGCTATTGTTACATGATTTTCATCGACGCAGAAAGTGTCTTAAATCATCATTAAACATATATTTTTAATGATACACAATCAACAAATCTTGACGACTCGTGTAACTTTATTAACTTGTCAACACCCGAATGATTTCACAAAATATACTGTGTGAGATGAAAGTTAATTGAAACTTTTGCTGTTTATGACTTGCAGCTTCTGGTTTCTATGATACAGGGTGTTGGTAGAGACAAGAGTTACTCACACTCACACCCTAATCAAAGAAAAACGCTTCATAAATTGATATTCGGGTTTCTTGGTTTGTCACAATAAATTGATGATCGCGAGGTGAAGAATCTCTTAACACTGTCCCTCATGTGCACTAACTTCATCTGCTTTGCAATCGGAATCGAGTTTCGGAGTCCAACATTGTTCACAAGTGCAGGTGTATTATTTATTAAAGAAATCTATGAATCTACACCCACACCCCCAAGACGTTGACGAAATTCAGAGATCGATATTGCTATGACCGAAGTGTTCCCCTTCCATCATAACGCAGAACAAACGGATAATACCCGCCCTTTTCTAGTATAGTGGTAGTCATACATTGCAGCGCTTGCCAGGATTTCAGCGAAAAAATGATTCGCAACCAGGGACGTGCACAAGACAGGACGGTCCTGGTGTCCTGCCCTGTCCTGTCCTTTAGGACAGAATGAGATTTAGATTTTTGTCCTATCCTGCCGCCCGCCAGGACGAAGATTACCAACACAGCAAACACGCACAGGATAAGGTTTCGAATTTTGTCCTGCTGTGCCGCCCGCTAGGACCAAGGTAACCACCAGGACAGGCAAGGACAGGAGAGAAAAGTATGGCCTGTCCACGTCTCTGGTGTGATTCCACCAGAGGGAGATTATCATTTTGTCCCGTTCTGTTGTCATACCATCACGTTGCTGTCTCACTGATACCCGAGTTTAATAATGTGAGTGAAAATAATACATAACAGATATCTATTATTGGAACGATTGGAACTTAACACACAGGTTACACTAGCAGGAGGATGCACGACAAAGTCGCCATTTGCGTAGACCAAAATATATCGTACCACACATTGATGATATCTCATGAAATGCCAGATTATATTGTTCTGTGCAACGAAAAAGGGCTCACTTAGTCCGCTCAGTTTTCTAAAATTTTTGGATAGCTATTTCGGTAAACTCAACTTTGGTCGACAGTAAAAATGTCGACAGTTAAAAATATCGAAAGTGCAAAATGTCGAAAGAAATTTATAAAAATAAAATTAAAAAATCTAAAGGAAGGAGTGTTTTGAAAGATATTCGATGAATATGTTATTATTGTAGGCAATGGTGGATCTACCAGTTAGGCTACCCGGCCATCGCCACCCCCTTAAGGAACTTTTTCGATTTTCTCCAGCAGAAATGAAACAGAAAATAGTCGCTCTGTCTCAACTAGACTTGAAAAACCATTTTTTGGTCACGAGTGCCACCCCTTAGCAGATTTTCTGGATCTGTCACTACTTGTAGGATCGATGGCGACTTATGTTCGTTT